GCCTTGTGCAGAACCTCAGGGAGGGCTAGGACACATCTTCCTCCTTGTACAAGAAAAAGGGGTGGAGGCTGTTGAACAGCCAGCATTGTGGCTTCTGCCTGTGTGTCTTGGGGGCTCTGGATTAAAAGTTGTTCCTGGAGAGAACAGTTGCTTTGCATGCAGAAGGGCCAGGTCCCATCCTTGGCATCTGCTGGAAGGGCAGGGAGAGATGCTTGAGGAGCCGCTGAGCTTGGTGGACCCACAGTCTGACTTAATGTAAGGCAGCTTTGCTGGTTGCTCTGTTCCCTTCTTCCATCATGACTTGAAGGCTGTGGGCGCCTTTCATTTCCCCCTCAGTGTTTGTCCTGCCTGCCCCTGTGTTTCCTCACCAGCTCCAGGACACCTGAGAAGGCACTTGATGAGTCTCTGTCATCCTTTGCTCCTAGGTGAGGCATGTCTTCACCCATAAGGCTGCTTTAAAACAACAACAACAATAATACGAAGCCTGGCAGATAACTCCCATATGGGGGAGGGTTGCAACATTTGGGGGTTCGTGGGGGAAGGTGAGTATTAGGGAGCATATTATAGAGGTACAGTCGTACCTCGGAAGTGGAACAGAATCTGTTCCAGAAGTCCGACTTCTGAAATGTTCAGCTTACAAAGCATGGCTTCTGATTGGCTGCAGGAAGCTGCAGAAGCCCCAGCGGACGTTCGGATTCCGAAAGAACGTTCGAAAGCTGAAACACTCACTTCTGGTTTTCAGTCATTCGGGAGCCAGAACGTTAGACTCCCAAGGCGTTCGGGAGCCGAGGTACGACTGTATATGAAATTATGCATCTCATGGAGAAAGTGGAACCCAGTGGGGTTGTCCCATGAAGCCAAATGTTGGAGGATTCAGGATAGACAGAGGACTTTTTCACACAGCACACTTTGTTTATTTATGTACTACATTTATATGCCACCTTTATCTTCCTGTGAGCTCAAGGTGGTTGTACATGGTTATCTTCCTAATTTGATCCATACAACAACCTAGTGAGGAAGGTGACTGGCCCAAGGTCACCCAGGGAGCTTTGTGGCTGAGTGGGGGGTTGTGGCCACCAACTTGGATGGAGGCTTTGCAAAGGAAAGGGGTTTAAACAATCTCAGGGGAGAGCAGGCTCTCAGTAGCTAGTAGCCACAATGACCATTACAATGACCCTCTTGGAGGCGGCATCTCCTGAATATCAGTTACCTGGATTTGCAGGTGAACAGAGTGCTCCTCATGCCCTTTTGGTGGGCTTCCCCTGATGGGCATCTGGGTGGCTCTTGCGAGGAGGACAAGATGCTGGATGGGATGGGCCTTTGGCCTGATCCAGCACGGCGTGTCTTCTGTTCTTCAAAGCAATCTTTTCTAGTCTTTAGGGGCAGTAAATTCTCCTGGAGTTCAGTCTGTAAATCAAAGCAGAGGACTGTTTTATGAGGAGTCAAATCCAACCCTGTTAAGTTCAAGTGGTAGGTTTCAAGTTGTTTTTTAACTCCTTGATCTCAACAGGAAGTGGTTTTTACTCTTGCTCCACTGGTCTTTGACAATCATACGTAACTCTTTCTCTCTTTCAGACTTCAGCATTTTTCTTTTGCTGCCTGCAAAATTTTGAAAGATCTCCTTTTCCTCTTGGTGGTGTTGGGGTGTCAGAACCGGTACGGTGCAGGGAGGCAATAAAACATCAAGAGCTTGGGGCAAAAGTTACTTAGGAGAACTAAACAAGCTTCAGTGGGACAATATTATTTCATCCGTGTCTTCCCTACCTTCGTAACTTTATGATAGCTGTTGTGTGACGATGCCATTGCAGGCTGAGGTAACACCCAGTGAATTTCATGGTTGTGTAAGGATTTGGATGCAGGTTTCCTCAGTCTGGATCCCAACTGTCTGGCGCAGAGCTTTCCAAAGTGTGTGTCATGACACATTGTGTTGGCTGCAGTGTGTAGGTGTGTCACACGAATGTTCCCTGCGCTCCTCCCGGGGCTGGAAAGAGGTTAGTTTAACCTCCGGTTTGCTAGTAAAACTGAATTACCGTGTCACAAAATGATGCATGTCTAAAAAATGTGTCACCAACATGAAAAGTTTTGAAAGCTCTGGTCTAGAACACAGCTTTTGGGAGGAACCCCCCCCCCCCACAGAATTGGACCAGCATTTTCAATAGTGTTAGATAGATAACCAAGGTGTCAAATAGCCAGGGCTGCTGCAACAAACAGCTGTGCAAGCCTTTGGACAGCAGAGACATGAAAGGGCATCAGAGGAGGGAGGGACAGAGGGCAGTGTTGCCCACGGCACCTCTGACTGTTAATCAAGGCACCCCAGGGTGCCATGGCACACTTGCTGAAAAACCACTGCCTTAAACCAAGCTTGTGGTCACCAAAACGGAATGTATAGTTGCCATTTTGTGGGCAAGATGGCTCTAAAGTCCTATTTTTCATATGATGGGCTGGCTATGATTCTCAGTTAACCATCTGGCTAGTTCAGCTGCCAACCTTGAGCTAGGTTAAGAGCTTGGAGAACTTAAAGAAGAAAAGTCACTTGATTGAGGGACAGTCTGCATATATATTGGCCTATTCCGCCCTGTTCAGGCAGAACAGAAAAAGCAATTTGGTTCCAGAAATTGATTCTGATTTTGCAGATAAAACAGAATTCTACAAAATGGGATATTAGTGTGTGAAAACAGTTCAGAGCCAATGATCCCTAGATGACTAAGATGACAGGTGCCATCCTGGCGCCCAGGCATCTTCACTTGGTTGCAAGTGGTTGAAAGCCAGGTGCAAAATGTGCCTGGCTAATTTCAAACACTGGGTCGATCTGCTTTTTCTGTCATGTTTATGAGAAGGGCATGAAGGCAGTGGTCCTCCTCAGGAGCTGATACTCACAGGTGCTTTTAGATGTGGAGGTTTTATGTAGCTAATGTGGCCAATCACTGATGGCAGACTTGGTTATCCATGAGTTAGTCCACTTTTCTCTACCTTTTTAAAGCCATCACACTGAATCAAATCCTAGAGATTTCCAGCTAAGTGAATATAATTATTTCCCCACATTTAGCTTAGGCGCCGTCTTCTGAGGGACAGAGTTTCTATTAATTCAAGCCCAGTCATGTTGGCTGATTTATTTTTACTTCTTTTTTTTTAAGAGTCAGGCTAATGTGAACGTCTGCTGTGCAGCAGCTGCAAGTCGGAGGTGTTCCTGGTGACGGAAGCGGCTTAATTGCTAGTAGCTTTATCCATGTGGGAAAATGTGTGGACAAGCAATGCTCTGAGCATGTGTGGCTGCCATCTTCACAATTATGGGATTTGTTGGGTGATGATGCACCACTTTGGAGCTTCTTCGGCAATGCTTCTGTTTGCTGCTTCTAGGATAAAATCATGCTCCCAAATAGTGGATCTGAAATCCAAGAAGCAGCCTCCTCTCATGTATGCTGTGATGAACTTGGGCATAAGCAGAGACTGTGTCACCTTCCTGCCCTTTGATCTGGCCCAGATATCATTGCTGGAAGGAGTGGGTGAGTTTAATATGTAACTACTGGTGACAGCTGGGTGGAATCCTAGAATTGCAGAGTTGGAAGGGACCCCAAGAGTCATCTAGTCCAACCTCCTGCAATGCAGGAATCTTAGCAAAAACATCTATGACAGGCGGTCATCCAACTTCTGCTTAAAAACCTCCAAGGAAGGAGAGTCCATCACCTCCTGAGGAAGTCTGTGCCACTGTCAAAGAGCTCTTGTTACTTTTTCCCAGGATGACAAGGAGTACTCTTCGGGTTTGGTCAGCAGCTACAAATGCCCCTAACGGATACTACTTTCAACCCACATTGTACCAGCTTCCTTGCAAAAACATCATGGGGGACTTTGTCAAAAGCCTTACTAAAATCAAGATACGCTATGTCCACAGCATTAGGTTAGGGGAGTAAACAATCACTTCTTGTTTTTAAGCAGGAACTGTAATGTAATTGTGCCTTGTGGAGTGCTTGTATTCAGTGTTCTAGCCAGCCATGCCTTCTCTCGGGATACTTCAGTCCATTACAGCTGTACCTTGGTTCTCTCAGACCAAAGCTTTGCATGAAATCACATGTGGGAGAGACTTCTCCCTGATTTGGGTGCTAGCCCATTTCCCTTCTGACCAGTGCTTTTTAAAAAAGAAAATAGGTGCCAGTGCTGCATATCCTTGAGTACCCCCAGAAAAAACATTGCTTCTGACCATTCTATGTCAAGCAGCTCAACAAGTCCCTACAAGATGCAGTTGCAAGAATAATTTTTTGGGGAGCATGCAAATGTGGAAGGACCATAGCTCAGCAATAGAGCTGCTGTTTTTGCACACAGAAGACACCAGGTTCAGTCCCTGGCATCTCCCTGCCTGAAACCCTGGAGAGCTGCTGCTCGTCCGTGGACAGGACTGAGCTTGGTGGGCCAAGTGTCTGGCTTATGGATGTAGTGAGCTACCTAATTCCATTTCTTCTTGTTGCTCTGTGGTTTCTACCATTCCATAATGTAGATGGGCTGTTTTCTTTTGCATCTGTAGTGTGTATATGTATACATAAATAGGCAAGAGGATGCATTAAGACATGGAACCAGACCCACACAGCAGGAGAGAATGTTCATCGTACCAGTGACTGGTGGTCTGTGCATTTTGCTGCACCTGTGCTCTTTTTTTGTAGAGAAACACACATATTGAGCCCCGTCTTTTGATACTTTCACTCACACACAGTTCTGAGTATATTTTCATGGCACTGGGAGCATCAGAAACATCATGCCCTCTTCTAAGGAGTTCCTAGCTGGAAAATCATTGGTTTAATGCAGTGGTTACAAACTTCATACACCGCCTTGAGCTCCTTGGAAGAAGAAGGTGGTATATAAATGTAATAAATAAATAAATAAATAATACATACACGGATAGATAAACTGTACTTTACAGAATTTTGCTGTTCTGGAAGTTGTTTTTGTTACCAAAGCAGCCTATAAACTCATGCCACCTGAAGGTTTGGAATGGACTCCTACATGTCAGAGCCTGGGTAGCTCAGCTGGTAGAGCATGAGACTCTTACTCTCAGGGTTGTGGGTTCAAGCCTCACATTGGACAAAAAGATTCTTGCATTGCAGGGGCTGGACTAGAAGTCCGCCATGGGCCCATCCAACTCTACAATTCTATAATGCGTTTCATTTGATCAGAACTGTGACTCAAGACATACATCATTGACTTGGAGAGGCAGATTGTGTTGCTACCCTTTGAACTGGATGTTCAGGTGTGAGTGTACATGAATGTAGGTTTAGGATGGGCAGGTGTCTTACCTCCGGAAAAAAGCAAAGCTGATGTAAGAGCAAATGAGTTTTCTAAGACTGCAATTTCCCAATGTCATTATGTCATTGTGTACATAAATCTCTCGTGTGATGATGCACCAGCATTAAAGTTTGGGGGTGGGGGAGAGCATTTGCAAGCTAACTATACACATTTTAAAAACATACTTAGCGTTGTTTTGGTGGCTGGGCTCTCTTTTTGCTTAAAAATGTGCTTCCCCAGTGTATATATTAAAAAGAGGACAGAGAGCAAGCAAAGTAGTTTTTGTTTTTGGACTGCAGATCTATAGCGATCATTGTGAGGACTGAATTTCTATGTAACACTGCAGCTTGCTGTGTTCAACTGGTCTTGTGTGTACAGTACTTGGTTTGGGACAATTCTTTGGGAATTGGCTCTCATGATGCTGGCAAGGTGTCCTGAACGTTTTTAAGAATTCAATATTTTCTGGGGTTGGTTGCCTGTGACAATGAAAACAGTCAGGAGATCCAATTGAGTATTCTCAGGGTATCAAACTCTGTGAAGTTTAAATTCTGTGACTGACTTAAATAGGTGGTACAAGTCTATACATGTTTCCTTGGAAGTAAGGACCACTGAACAGAGCAGGAGTTATTCCGAGGTAAGAATGCATAGGATTGCAACAGTTCTTTATTGCCAGAGGCTAGAAACTTGAATGCTAACAATCCTTTGGAAATCCCCGTAAACACAAGGGGGACTTGATAAATGTTTTTCCTAACCCCAAGCTGTCGGACCTTCTGCGCACCAGTATTTTCAGAAATTATTCCCGGCGACGGTTTTTTGCGGGCATTTCTACTTCGCGGCCGTATGGTAGCTCTGGCAACCTGTTGCCCCGGGGCCGCCCGCCTTCCTCCCGAGAGCGCGCGCTCTGGCGCTGCTCGCCTGCGTTTGTCTGGCGCGCGGCGGCGTCAGCCGGGGGTCCTCGAAGCGCGCCCCGCTGCGGCGTGTTGGCGGCGCCGCGTTGCCGGCCGGGCGGCCGCCCTTTGCCGAGGCCGCTGCGCTGCTTTGGCCGCCACGAGCCGCGATGTAAACATTCCACAAAAGGGCTCCTGCAGCCACCCAGGTGGGCGGGGCCTGCCTCTCCGCCTCCTCGAGCGACGGCTTCCTCCGCCACCAGCGGGCCTGGGGCCGTGCTTCGCCATCCAATGGGCGAACGGGAAGGGCGGGCCTTTGATTCCGATACGGAATTTTTTTTAGCCGTCTCCCCCTTCCTCCTACAACCCTCCTTTCGCATCCCCTTCCTGGGAGCCGTCGCCCAATCGAGGCAGCGGAAGCTGGCCAGCGCCGCGCGGCAATTGGCGGGGAGGCCGAGCGGCGTCAGCGCCGCCCAATGGCCGTGCGGGAGGCCGCCCCGGGGGCAGGGGAGAGGCGGGATTTCCCAAGGAACAGAGAAGCGGGCAGTGCTCGGCGGCGGCGGCCGTCCTGAGGCGGTTGGTCTGGGCAACCTGCTCCCTCGCTGCTGCTTTCGCTTCCCTTCGCCCGCTTCCCTTCGAGCGGCGCCCCCGCCGCGAGCTGCCTCGCCGCCCTGCTCGGTGTGGGGGACGCGGGGCGGGCAGACGGAGGCCTGGCTTGGCCTTCGGCTCCTGACGAGGCTCCCAGACCCGCCGCCTGAGGAGAAAGCGGCAACGGCGGGGAGCGAGACGAGGCGGGCGCCTTGAGCGCGAGGAGGACGGCAAGTACGAGGCAGCGGCGGCGCTGAGGTGAGCAGAAGGCGCGAGCGGCTGGGCGCGCGCACGCGCGCTGACAAGACCCGTGGCGGGCGGGCGAAGGGGAGCGTGGCGCGCGCGCAGTGTGTGGAGGGGCGTGGCTTCGCGCCTGTGTCGCGCGCGCCATCCGTTGAAAGCGGGAGAGGGAGGGAGGATGGAGGGAGTGGAAGCGATTCGTTCGGTCATCGGCACTAAGGCGGTGTCGGCCCCTCTTGTTCCCGCGCCGCCAATCCTAGGCGGTTCTGGCTGCCTGGCCCGCCCCCAAGTTTCCCCTTCCCGGCCGGCTCTCTTCAGTCTCCCCCCACCCTGCTTATTCGCGATGCATTGTGGCTCCGCCCCCTCGGGGAGGGCGGCGAGGGGCGCCGCCGGGTGGGCGGGGCCTCCCTCTCCCTCTCCCTCTCCCTCTCTCTCCGGTGGCGCTTCCGCGGCCACCGGCGCCGCCTCTGTTCCCCTTCCCCCCTCGGTAGTTTCGCCCAGGGTGATGCGGCCCCTCCTGCGGGCCGTGGTCGCTGCAGTCGGGAGTTTGGGTCCTTTAAAAAAAAAAAAAAATCAAAAATTATCACTCTTCCTGGAATTCTGATTCACTTTCACGACGAAGAGGAGGAGAGCTGCTTGTCCTGCAAGCCTAGCCCCGATTACTTGGGAGTAAGACCAAGAGGACTTCATTGTTATTAACATTATCATTATCATTTATTAAATTTGTATACCGCCCTTCATCCGTAGATCTCGGGTAGGTAAAAACACAAAATGCTTTAAGAAATAGAACAGAATAAAACAATAATCCCCCCTCCCTTCCTGCAAGCACATTTAAAAGAATATAGGTTGTTAGCCAGCCAAAGGCCTTTTTGAAGAGGAACTTTTTCACCTAAGTATAATGAAAATGCCAGACGAACCTCCCTGGGGAGAACATCCCAGGAATGTCGCTATCCTGATGGCTCACTTTCACCTCAGCTCCAGTGCTCAGGAATGGAAGGCAGGGAAAGCTTGAGTGGATGAGGAAGCGTGGCTAAATGAATGGATGTATTTGCTTTTTCTTCTTGTCAGTGTGGGCACAAAGCTCTTCAACGTGTGGCTGGTAAAAAACCTGGCTAGCAGCTCGGGAGCGCAGGAACAGCCACCCTTTCATTCCATGTGCCTGAGAAGCAGCTGCAGGAAGTAGTAGCTGCCTGGGCACCACCTCATGGCTTTCCAGGCGAGAGCTATGGCAGTCGTAAAAGCCCCCTTTAAAGGACCTTATCCGAGGTCATCAGGGTGAAGTTGGTCTGTTGCCAGAAGAGCGGATGGTGACAGACCCCGGAGGCCCCTTGTAATGCAACCAATCACTTTGAATCCTTCCTTAATCACTCAGTTCTTACACTGATGCCTTTTGTCCTCAGATGCCCAAGTGTGAACAGAGACAGCACATTTTGCTTTTCCAGACACTGGGTTGTGCTTAAATGGGGTTCACTGCCATGTGCAATTTTTAAGAGTGGCTGTTTAAAAATAATGGTGTTTGTGTTGTGGAATTTAGAGAGCAGCTAGCTGGCAGTTACTTTCCTCTATTTTAGGAATGCAATTGGATATCTAGAAGAGTTGGTTATAAATAATACATAACTATTAAAATGATTTTTTTAAAGTGACTGTTTTTCCCTTTGAAAAAATTGCTGTGTAAGTTTCTAGATTTCTTCAAACCTTGTGTAAATATTTTACATGTTGTGTGCAATGTTATTGAATTTAATTTATTTATTCAGTTTTTTGCTGTCATGGATACAACCATGTCTCTCCACTTGAAGTGCAGTTATAGAAAAAGATCATACTAGTTCTCCTAAAGGTTCCATCGTATTCTATGCTATGGTTTCAGGGCAGAGTGGTTTTGTGCTTCTTTTACAGGGATGGAGAACCTGTGGATCTCTAGGTGTTCTTAACCATGCCAGCTGAGGCTAATAGGAGTTGCAGTGCAACATCTGGAGGGCCACAGGTTCTCCATCCCTGCCAAAAGCATTTTGTCATTAGTTACCATTGGTTTGGTTTTGTGGGGGATGGAGGGATAGGTCAGCATAGGGTCAGGATATTAAACTTCTCAACTCAAATCTACATACGTGTTATACTCATTCATTTTATTAAAACTGCATCTTGCCTTCTTCAAGGAGCTCAATTTAGCATACAGTTTCCCTTGTCTTTCCTTCAGAACGTCCCTATGAGGTAAGTTAGGCTGAGTGAAAATGACAAGTCCGTAGTCACCTCTTGAACTTTACAGCTGAATTGGGGTTTGAAACTGGGTCTGTCCAGTCCTGTCCTACACTCTGACCACTCCACCACACTGGCTGGGAGTAATCCGCTGGGAGGAAGCTCCACTGAGCTCAGTTGGCCTTCTGAGTAGGCACATACAGGATTGTTGGGCATAGAATATCATTTTCATAAGTTCTGCATAGCCATATTTTATGTTTACTTCACTTCCATGCTTGAGTGGGCTTATAAACCACTACAAAGCAGTAACAATAACATAAAGTCTTAGGACTTTTTAATAAAAAAATATAGGGGAGTGATGTTATAGGCGGTTTAGATCAGGGAGCATGTGAAATTACTACTGGCCGTTATGTGGTCAGTTACACAAATGGTGTGCAACAATATCACCAAAAACATACAAACATAGTTTTATTGGAAACAGGAAATAAAATTCTTACTGTATGTTGATGCTTCTGATTTGTAAATCTCATGCCTCTATCTGCATTAATGAAATCTAGAGTGGTTTGTTGCTATGAGTGATATTGATTGTAAAAGTACTTCAGTGCAGCTGCATTAATATAACAGGGTCTGTGCTTTATAAACAAACTTGCTGACTCCTAGTGCAAAAGGCTAGGATTTAGACCTCTGAATATGTCCTTGTGACTTTATCATGCAGAAATCTGAAGTTCTTTACTGATAATTCATTCTCAATAGCCCTATTCAGGCAGCCTATTGCCCGGTCTATTAATCACCCAAGGGAGACTGATGGGAATGAGCATGCTAGCTTCATGCCCCCCATCCTGTCATCAACTTGTGGACGGCAACTATGAAGCTGGGGACTTCTGTATCTCTGAAAATTCACTGCAATTTTTTAAAATTATTACAGTGGTGCTTTGGTTTACGAACTTAATCCATTGTGGAAGTCCGTTCTTAAACCAAAGCATTCTTAAACCAAGGCGTGCTTTCCCATAGCAGTGGGGGACTCAATTTACAAATGGAACACACTCAACAGGAAGCGAAACATGTTCTTATTCCAAAGCAAAGTTCACAAACCAAAACACCTACTTCCAGGTTTTCAGCGTTCTTAATCCAAGTTGTTCATAAACTAAGCTGTTCTTAAATCAAGGTACCACGGTATTTGGAAAAACTGTGTTCTAAAATGCATTGGGACCCACAGCCTACATAAGTTGGTTTTGTCTACTTAAAAGTAATTAGATTTTTAAAAATTAACTTAAAACTTTACATTTTTAAAATTTAAAAAATTCAGATTTTACTTCAGTATAGCCGTACAGTGGTACCTCAGTTTTCGAATGTCATCCATTCCAGAAGACCTTTCAAGTTCTGAAACGTTCAAAAACCGAAAACTCAATAGCTGACAGCTAGGCCTCAGGATCTTACACCCAGCGGAAGCTGCGTGGCATGTTCGACTTTCAAAGCGTGTTCGAAAACCAAAGCATTTACTTCTGGGTTTATGGCATTTGAAAACCGAAATATTCAGCAATGGAGACGTTCGAAAACCGAGGTACCACTGTATTCCACAGTTATAAATGAGTGAAATGGTTATAAAAAATTGGTATGTTGCCTCTTGCCTTTACTTTGGTCATATCCAAGAGGGGATAAGGTAATTGCTGATGAATTGCTTATTATCAATTTCTTCCTTCAAGGATTCCACAGTGACATTTTATCCTTTTAACAACAACCTTCTGTGGTAGTTTGCAGGGGAGATAGTGATTCTTAGACTTTCCAGTAGGCTTCACAGCTAGAGCTTCAGGATAGAACAGGGATAGGCAAACTAAGGCCCGTGGGCCGGATGTGGCCCAATCGCCTTCTCAATTAGCGTGTTTTTACATGAGTAGAATGTTTCCTTTTATTTAAAATGCATCTCTGGGTTATTTGTGGGCATGGGAATCGTTCATCCTGCCCCCCCCCCATATAGTCTGGCCCACCACATGGTCTGAGGGATGGTGGACCAGCCCACGGCTGAAAAAGGTTGCTGACCCCTGGGATAGAGGCTGGTTGTCTTCATACTGGGCAGAAGGTGTATTACTGCTACTGACTGCTCTCAAAACCTAGTGCAGAGTGAAAAAAGCCCTTTCCCCTCCTTGCTGCCCTTTGGAACCTAGGCAAATTGTGGGGTCCTTCTTAGCACTGGAGCTACTCACAAGCATGCTGCAAGCAGCCATTGCGTGTCTCTTAGCCTAAGGGTGGCAAAGGATGATGTTGACTCCCTTTTCTTGATTCTTTTGCCTGTGTCAGAGGACAAGATTCAGAATGTTATTTAATTTTATTATGTTTCTATTGCGCCCTTCCTCCAAAAATATCAGGTACACGGTTATTTTCCTGCCGCCACCAACTTAATCTTAATCTTCCCAACAACCCTGTCAGGGAATTAGGTTAATGTCACCTATTGAGCTTTATATCTGAGTGGCTTGAACCTGACACTTCACCATACAGGTTTATAGCTGTTTTTCTCCCCTACGTGGCATGAAGCACATTATTTGGTGGAGGAGAGTGGCCTCTCACTTCACAGACATAGGCAAATGCAGTTGCCAGGAAGAGGGCAATCTGGCACCTGCACCTGTAAAACCCTGGTGTATATCTTTTGAGTAGGAGGACATTGCCCTTGATTAATTTGTAAATGTTTGTGCCCTTATATTTGGATCAGTCTGAAATGTCTGTTAGGGAAATGGTCGTTTTTAATAATAATAATAATAATAATAATAATAATAATAATAGTTTTTATTTATACCCCGCCCTCCCCAGCCAAGGCTAGGCTCAGGGCAGCTAACAAGTAATAATAAAAACAAGCTGAATGAATACAAACTTAAAAACAAGATTAAAATACAACATTAAAATATTGAAACATTAAAATGCAGCCTCATCAGAGGAGGAGAAAGGAAAATAAAGAGGGGGAGGGAATCAAATTGGCTCCTAGCCAAAGGCCAGGTGGAACAACTCTGTCTTACAGGCCCTGCGGAAAGAAATCAGATCCTGCAGGGCCCTGGTCTCATGAGGCAGAGCGTTCCACCAGGCCAGAGCCAGTGTTGAAAAGGCCCTGGCTCTGGTTGAAGCTAATCTAACTTCCTTAGGGCCCGGGACCACTAGGGTGTTGCTATTTATCGACCTTGAGGCTTTCCGTGGGGCATACTGGGAGAGGCGGTCCCGTAGGTACGAGGGTCCTAGGCTGTGAAGGGCTTTAAAGGTCAAAAGCAGCACCTTAAATCTGACCCTGTACTCCACCGGGAGCCAGTGCAGCTGGAAAAGCAGTGGGTGAATATGCTCCCATGGCAGGGACCCCGTGAGGAGCCTGATCAGGGAGTGTGCCTCATATGTGCTACTGAACTTTGCCAGACTATGATGTCCTCTTAAAACTGGCCTTTTCTCCTTTCCATTTCTTACATATCTTTCTTCCTGAGTAGTGGTTTGAAATCAGTGGATAAAGTTCATTCTTTCTAGTGAGTGCAAATCATATGCAATGGGGAATGGAAAAAATCTGCTTTTGGCTGATGAAAAAGGTTTGATTTGTGTAATGATGACATTTGAATTTAAGCTAATTTCACCTGCTAATTGCTGATGCTACAATTCTTTTCCATGCTAAGGTTGGGGTGAGTTGTATTGCAAATGATGCTGGATATACTATGTTGTTTTATAACTGTGTGCCTTATCTCTATCTCTACATTTTAAGTATTAGAAGTTGATATTTTTAAAATTATGGTACTTAATCTTCTGGGTGAAATTTTACTCTTTGTTGTCTTAACTAGAAATTTGTGTTGTTCCTTTGAAAAACACAGTTGGTGGTTTGTTTGCTTGCTTGCTTGCTTGCTTGCTTGCTTGCTTTTTTTCATTTTCAAGCAATTCCCAAATTCCTGTTACAAGTTTGGGATCTACTTCTGAATGGTGACTATTACAGCAGCTGTCTGACCTTGCCTAACCTCTGGGCAAATCAACAGCATGTGTTCTAATGGATGCAGAAGGAGAGAGAGTGTGTGTGTCTTGGGGAACAATACATAGGAGCATCACTTCCTATAGTTAAGTGACCTAAATCTAATTAGCACTATCAACTGACATGTATGTATCTTCAGAGTTAATGGAAGGTTATGTATGTTAATAGTTTCCTTTAGCCTCCTGAGGCTTAGACCATGCAGATTAGGACAAAATTGTTTCAGTTGCTTGAAGGGATCTGGAATGAGAAACAGGAATATTTAGCATATGCGAAGCTTAGCATTCTTAGTGTTGAGCTTGTAGGTTCTGATTATGGTGCCACTGGTGGACGAATCCTGTGAGTTCTGCTTTTGGGACAGCAGCATTTTTCTATCCCTTCCTTGGTAGCCCCTTTGCCTCTTGAAAAATTGCTCCAGAGGGTTAGGAGACTCCCCAGAGCTGCATGAGAGGTAATTCGTGAACAATGCAGAATGCACTGCTACTGAATCCCAGTTCTATTGGTGAACAAAAGGCAGCCTTTAGTTCATGGAATGGTAGTTCAACTCTCAGCCACACACTGGGCTACTTTGATGTTATTGTCCTACTAAAAAGCTTGTTTTAATTTTAAACCCCCCTATTACATTGACTCAAATTCTCATTGGCACTTTGGTTGAAAAAGGAAAATAAAGAGGATATGCCCTTTTATTTTAAAATGTAAAGCATATCACTTTCCAGAGATAAGCCACTTTGCATTGTTGAAATGTTCAAGCGGATTATATGTAAACAAGATAAACTGGCTAAAGTGAAGACGTTTGCAGAGACCAGTACAGCACAACCAGATCATCTGGAGGAAGGTGATTATGTTTTTGTCAGCATTTGATATTTGCTCTCTCTGAACCTCCCTATGTAGGGCTCAGATAGTGGCATTCTTTTTCTCCTTAACAATTATGATCTGCACAGGAAGTACTAATAATGTGTAAAGAATTCTTGACAAGACCAGTATATGTTTGAGTAGGAAGCTGTATAATAGTAAATTTTTATTTATACCCTGCCCTCCCCGGCCAGAGCCAGGCTCAGGGCGGCTAACACCAGTAAAATTACAATAAAAATGGGGGGGGGGGCGCAACAATTTAAAATACAGGTTAAAAATACAATTTAAAATGCAGCTTCATTTTAATAATAGCCCATAGATCAAAACCATAAGGGGAGGGAAACATAAGGGTCAGACTGAGTCCAAACCAAAGGCTAGGCGGAACAGCTCTGTCTTGCAGGCCCTGCGGAAAGATGTCAAGTCCAGCAGGGCCCTAGTCTCTTGTGACAGAGCGTTCCACCGAGTTGGGGCCAGTACTGAAAAGGCCCTGGCCCTAGTTGAGCCCAATCTAACCACCTTGCGACTTAGGACCTCCAAAATGTTGTCATTTGTGGACCTTAAGGTCCTCTGCAGGGCATACCAGAAGAGGCGGTCCTGTAGGTCAAAACCAGCACCCTGTACACCACCGGGAGCCAGTGCAGTTGGTAAAGCACTGGATGAATGTGATCCCATGGAAAGGACTCCGTAAGGAGCCTCGCCACAGCATTCTGCACCCACTGGAGTTTCTGGGTCAGCTTCAAGGGCAGCCCCGCGTAGAGTGAGTTACAATAATCAAGCCTGGAGGTGACCGTCGCATGGATCACTGTGGCCAGATCAGGGCAAGAAAGGTAAGGGACCAATGCTTAATACAGCGGAGATGGGAAAATGCCACCTTTGCTGTGGCCGCAACCTGCGCCGCCATGGAAAGGGAGGCATCGAAGGTTACACCCAATCTCTTGACAGAAGGCACTGGTACTAATTGAGCCCCTGCAAGAGATGGGAGTTGGCCCCCCAACCCCATGTCGTCCCGACCCAGCCAAAGGACTTCCGTCTTTGAAGGATTTAACTTCAACCGGCTCCCACGCAGCTTAACCAGCCACAGCTTCCAAGCATCAGGTCAGTGTGTCCGGGGCCGAGTCAGGGTGGCTGTCCATCAACAGATAAAGCTGGGTGTTATCAGCATATTGATGACAACCCAGCCCAAAGCTCCGGACAATCTAGGCAAGGGGCACATAAAGATATTGAAAAGCATCGGGGAAAGGATTGCACCCTGTGGGACTCCACACACCAAGGAGTGCCGCGGTAACAACTCCCTTCCTAGCGCCACCCTCTGTCCCTGACCTGAGATAAAGGAGCGCAGCCATTGTCGGACTGTGCTCTGAATCTCCATGTTGGCAAGGCGGTGATCCAAAAGTTTGTGATCGACCATGTCGAAGGCTGCTGACAGGTCTTATGAGAATCAGCAGTCCTGACCCGCCTCAATCCAGCTATTTACGGAGATCATCTGTTAGGGCAACCAAAGCAGTCTCGGTCCCGTAACCAGGGCGAAAGCTGGACTGAAATGGGTCCAGAGCCGATGTTTCATCCAGAAACCTACCAAACTGTTCGGCAACCACTCTCTCAATTACCTTACCCAGGTACGGAAGATTCAAAACCAGGCGGTAATTGGATAGATCTAGAGGATCTAGAGATGTTTTCTTTAAGAGCGGATGCAACACTGCTTCCTTCAACTCCCCTGGGAAAGTCCCCTGATTGGGACTGATTGATGATCTCACCCAGGTGGGCCCGCACCTTGTCTGGACACGCTCTAATCAGCCAGCATGGGCACAGGGCAAGTTGTGGGCCTTCCAGCTCGAAGGAATCTGTCTACATCGGCAGGGAGTATCCGATCAAAGTGGTCCAATACTGGACCTGGGGACAGTCGAGGGGCCTCCAGTTCTGTTACTGTATCCAAATTGGCAGGGAGGTCACGGCGGAGCAGCAAGACTTTCTCCGCAAAAAAGCTCGCAAATGCCTCACAGCTATGGGTCAAATTCGTATTTATATTTGGCGGTTCCTCTAGGGTTGTTAAAGACCTAATTATTCTAAAAAGTTGCGCCTGGCGAGAGCTAGTGGATGCAATGGAAGCTGAGAAGTAAAACGTCTTTGCAGCTTTCACTGCCATCTCATAGGCTTTCATAAGCGTCCTATAAGATGTTCTTGAGGCTCTGTCGCGAGCACGCCGCCATACTCACTCTAGCCGTCTGAGGTCCCGCTTCATTTTCCAGAGCTCCTCGGTAAACAAGGGGGTTTCGGCGGGGTCACAGAGGGCGCTTAGGTGCGATCTCATTGATGGCCACCAAGAGCCAGTTATTCTAGTTCTCGACAAGCTCATCTAGTGAGCCGCTGGGGGAGCAGGGTCCCGCAAGGCCTGACGAAATCCATCAGGATCCATCAGTTTTCGCGGCTGAGCACAAATAGGCTCACCACTCAAGCGGGGTGGGGGCGGGAAGTCAATCCTGGCTTTCAGAGCATAGTGATCAGACCATGGCACTTCCACAAGTGAGGACATGATCACATCTATACCCGCACCAAAAATCAAATCCAGCGTGTGGCCTGTTGGTGTGGGACCCAAAACAAACTGGGAGAGCCCTAGTGTCGCCATGGAAGACACCAGGTCCAGAGCCCGTGAGGAGGGGGTGGCATCAGTATGGACGTTGAAGTCACCCAAAACCAGTAGGTTAAGGAACTTCAAGGCCCAGCCTGCCGCCACATCCAACAGGCCTGACAGGGTGGCTGCTGGTGTGCTAGGTGGTCGGTACACCAGCCAGACAGCCAAGCTCTCCTTGGTGCCCCACACTAGGCCAACACATTCAATGCTGGAGATTGGAGGTGATGGTACAGCCCTGAAAGAGCAATCCTCCCGGATTAACAACGCTACCCCTCCCCCCGACCCACAGTCCGCGATTGGTGGAGGACGGAGAAACCTGGTGGTGTCATCTCATGCAAGGTGACTACTTCACCTTCGCACACCCAGGTCTCCGTCACGCACACCACGTCAACCCCTTGCGAGATAAAGAAGTCTCGCAAGGTGGCGGTTTTATTGCCTATGGCCAATGACGGAAGTGGGTAATCCCTGCTCACCCGACCCACGTCCCTTGGGATGGGACATAGATTGGAAGGGGTTCGAGCATCACCGCATCTCAAAACCCTTCGCCGATAATATCTACCCCCACCGCCATTCCTCCCATGCCCTTCGATGGTGGCAATCCCAGCCCCCACGCTAGCCTCCCCTGTAAAGAAATGATATCCCCTCACTGACATAACATCCCTGGACCAAGTCTCCCAAATCAAAAAGGTATGATATTGAGAACTGCAGGTATGAACTGCAGAGCTTGATCAAAGTCAATATGACTTGCAGAGCTTGATCAAATGAAGTTCTAGTAGAATAGACAATTCCAATAGAACTCCAATAGACAAGAATCAAAGAGAATAAATATATTCCGTAATGGAGTGAATATTGTCTCTAATTTTTGTCATTTAGGGAGATTGTGTAGAAAGAAAAACAAACGTTCATAAATATTTTCAAGAGGAAAATTAATTATGGAAACTGAAATCTCCATTGTGGAAAGCTTTTAAAAAATAGGGTAGAATACAGTGGTACCTCGGGTTAAATACACTTCAGGTTACATACGCTTCAGGTTACAGACTCCGCTAACCCAGAAATAGTGCTTCAGGTCAAGAACTTTGCTTCAGGATGAGAACAGAAATCGTGCTCTGGCGGTGCAGCGGTACCAGGAGGCCCCATTAGCTAAAGTGGTACTTCAGGTTAAGAACAGTTTCAGGTTAAGAACGGACCTCCGGAACGAATTAAGTACTTAACCCGAGGTACCACTGTATGTTATTTCTGATGACTTATTTAATCATCATCCATAGGTTAGGCAACAAACTAGAGGATCTCTGGTTTTTTTTGTTCTGCCTTGCACATGATACACTTCCCATCATTTTTGGGGACAGATTTGTTGCAGAAGGCAAGATATTAAAAGATGGACATCATCACTGTGTTTTATGTCCACCACTTCCTTTCTGTGCTGGCTGGGCCTGATGTTGCCCAAACCATCCAGAGGGCACCAGTTTGGGGAAGATTCCTTTCAAGTGTCACTCAACAGAACTGATATGTTGACTCACTGATATAATGGCTCACAACCATGAATGAGCCTTTTTATTGCCTTTCTGAAATACCATGAAATATTAGGTAGCCTTAGAGCACCCTTGCAAATAATTCTTAAAAGGTGCAAAGCCTATCGTATTTAACTTGTCATTAGTGGCTTTAAGGGCAAAAAACCTAAAAGCACCCAGCTTTTGTAAAAACATCTCTACTTTGTTACCTGAGTGTATGTACAGTGGTGCCTCGCAAGACGAAATTAATTCTTTCTGCGAGTTTTTTCGTCTAGCGAATTTTTCGTCTTGCGAAGCACGGTTTCCCATAGGAATGCATTGAAAATCAATTAATGTGTTCCTATGGTCAAAAAAAGTCCAAACAAAGCCAAATTTGGTACAAAAAGAGTTTATTAAGTGCTCTTTAAAGTCACACATACTGTAAAGAGCATTTCAAAAATTGAAGGAACAATAATTTAAGTTTCTAAACATGACAGAAAAGCATTTAAAAATCACCAAAGTGTACAGTACTGTACATACATTTTCTAAGACTCTGGGAGACAACTCGAAGAAGGTTCCACTCTTTGCTTCTTGCACTCTTTGCTTCTTGCTGAAGAACCTGTCCATGGTCTGCTGCTTCATCTGCCTTTTCAGCACCTCCCTGAAAGGCGACATGACCCTCGTATCAAAAGTGTTCGAAAGGTCACGTGTCAGGTCCTTGTCAGGGTGGTGCCGCTGTACAAAAGCCTGCACATCTTTCCACTTCAGGCAAATGTCCCTCAGTTCTTTGGAGGACAACTGTTCCTCAGTTGCTTCCTCCTCTTCCAGCGAGGCCTGCTCCTGCGCAGCCTCTGCCTGCAGTTCGACCAGCTCCTGGGTGGTAAGCTTGTGGTTGTGCTCCTCCACCAGCTCGCTGACGTCCTCCTCTGTGACCTCCAGGCTCATGGTCCTCCCCAAGGAAACAATGTCCTACACCACTGTTGACTCTGGTGCATCAGAGTCACTTGGTGCCACACAGTCCGGCCACAGGCTGCGCCAAGCGCAATTCAAATTTCTCTGGCTGATCCCGTCCCAGGCCGTGGCGATCATCTTCAAGCAGGTGACGATGTCGAAGTGGTCCTTCCAGAATTCCCGCAGGGTGATGTTGGTGCAATCAGTCACCTCGAAGCATCGCCTGAAAAGCTCCTTGGTGTAGAGTTTTTTGAAATTGGCGATGAGCTGCTGATCCATCGGCTGGAGCAGTGGCGTGGTGTTAGGCGGCAGGAACATGATGTTGATGAGGCTGAACTCCTCCAACAAGTCCTCCTCAAGGCCTTTAGGATGAGCAGGAGCATTGTCCATCAGAAGCAAAGCCTTCAGCGGCAGGTCGTTGTCCAGCAGGTACTGTTTGACAGCAGGGCCAAAAGCAAGATTGACCCAGTCCACAAACAGCACACGTGTGACCCAAGCCTTACTGTTGGATCGCCACATGACACTCAGCTGCTCCTTGTCGACCTTGTGTTTCTTGAAGGCCCGTGGGTTCTCCGAGTGGTACACCAGCAGGGGCTTGATCTTCAGGTCGCCGCTTGCGTTGGCACAGAAGAGCAGGGTCAGACGGTCCTTCATGGGCTTGTGGCCAGGCAACCTGGCCTCCTCCTGAGTGAAGAAAGTTCTTTTGGGCATCCTCTTCCAAAACAGCCCGGTCTCGTCGCAGTTGAAGACCTGCTGTGGAACGTAGCCCTCCGTCGTCACAACCTCCAGGATCTCCGCTGCAAAGTCTTCAACCGCAGGAACATCAGAACTGGCAGCCTCGCCATGTCTGACCACGCTGTGGATTCCAGATGTCGCCTTGAACCGGTCAAACCAGCCTCTGCTTGCCTTGAAGACTTCTGGCTCGCCTGAGGTTCCTGGCTGTTGCCGGACGAAGTCTGCGTGCAAGGCCTTGGCCTTCTCACAAATGACGGCCTCAGTCACTGTATCCCCTGCACTCTGCTTCTCTTCTAACCAGATGAGCAGCAACTTCTCCCACCTCCTCCAGAACAGCTGGGCGGTTCTTCACGATCCTGGTGACTCCCTTGGCTACATCAGTCGCAAGGATCTTCTCCCTCATCTTCAGGATGGTCCCGATGGTCGATGGATTCCTCCCGTACTCCCTGGCGAGGTCTGTCACACGCATTCCACCGTCCTGCTTCCAGATGATCTCCTTCTTCATTTCCAGCGTAACCTTCTCCTTCTTCCTCTCGCCGGCCTCTGCAGCAGCAGTCTTCTTGGGTCCCATGGCAGCACAGCGCCTAGCTTCGCAACCCCCCCCCCAAAAAAAATCAGTGCTTCACATCCAAAAAATTCAAAAGCACCAAACCTCCCAGAAAACACTTCAACAATTCCCTGACCCCCCCCAGCCACCCACCACACAGAAATCCAAACCCAGAAATCTTTTTTTTAACAACAGCAGAGTGCCCCAATGGTCACAGAAAATCATAAAAATGCAGAAAAAAACACACAAGCTTCCAGATTCTTGCAAACCCCTCCCCAACACCAAGTCCTTGAATTCCAAACACCCCAACCCAAAATCCAAAAACCCCCAAAAAAGTCCTGCCTTAAACTGCCTAAATGATCCACAGGTGACACCTGGGGTATGATAAGGGGGAGAATTTAGATCCCTGGAGTGAACTATTGTATGGCGTTGCCCTTGTTGTGAAAAGGATGTCACAGTCAACATTCAGCATTCACATTGTTGGAAAAAGTAGCTAGGAGACAGCTCCAAGTATCCACTAATGCAGTCCAGTTGGGCCTCTGGCCCTAACCTTTATCTTTGTATGGCTATTTTTGTTTTTTTAATTTGCCGCATTCTCCTCTTTTTCTTCATTTTCCTTTTCAAAGTTTTTGTCTGGATAACAATTCATTCCTCACGATGTTTATAAGTAGCCACATAATCTGGTCATCCTTGGGAAGAAACAATCTCATTTAGACTAGCAGGTAAGGGAGGTGTAAAAAAAACTTGGTCCTCTGTGCCTTTCAGAGCCAGAATGGCTAGCTGGGCATCATGTGGATAGCAGACTACAATGGTTCTGTGGACTAGTTGCCTTGTGAACATATTTTCCTTTTCCCAGGCAACCAGTGTTTGAAATTAACCAGTTGCCAGTCGCTTTCTGCAACTCAGGAGTGCTTCCTTGTGGCCAAGTTGAGATTTGCAGTCACATGGTTTGCACATGGTGCAGAGAACTCTTCTGGCTGGGCAGGAGATGCCTTCCAGGACGCTTGTTGATGTCTTTTCCATTGTTGTACAATTTGCATAAGAAGCTCTTTCACACAGTTAAATAGATTGCTTCTCTTGGGGGGGGGGGCAGAAAGGGAGATCTGGCCGATTTTCACCCCACCCCTTCAGCCTTTCTGTGAGACTGCAAGTTATGGACAGTTAAATGGGTTTTACTCAGGGCCTTAGAAAAAAGGTGCCATGAAGCTGTTAAAGCAAGTGCCACGCTTTTAACCAGTGCCTTTTTTCTAGGGGGACAAAGGTGCTTGTTCTCCATACCCTTGACAGAAAAAGGACTGGTTTTTATTGTGGGGCTTCTGCTGCTGATTCCTGAGCTGGCTGATTATTTAAGGAGTTTCTAATGGTGATCTTGCTTCTCAGAAGTGAAATGACTCTAGCAGTTAAGCAGTGCCTCTTTTATTGCTTTGCCTTTCATTTTTCCCCATAATAATATTTTTGCTGGCTTGCTTGGAAGGTTTGCCCCCTTTATTTGGATTCTGCTGCATCATTTTCTTTTCTAGGAATGCATATTGAGCATGGGGGTGGGGAGAGCAGAGCTGGCCTAAGGAAGGTGGGCCCCCTCTACACGGCCAGGTTGTGTTGGGGAAGGGGGATAAGGGGGTGGAGGGGGAAGCCTCACCTGACACAGGGAGAATAGGAGGAGTAGGCGGCAACTGGAGCACTCCTGGAGCTGCCTTGTGGGGCGAGAGGGTTACAGGGTTCTTTGGAGCTGCGGTAGCACTAACACCAATGTTTGGAAGCTGCAGGAGCTGCTTAAGAAGTTGGAGCAGCAAAACGAGCAGCTAGGTCTGCATTTGCAGCGCTGGTGGGGCTCCAGGCAACGGCCCCCAAAGGCTCCTCGGCAGCATCCCCAGCAGTGCAATCTCGGGTGTCTGCACCCTCTTGCTGCAACCCTCCGCATCCCGCTGTTGCCCACAAGGAGCAGCCCTCTGCTTCCAGGGCTCAAAAGTCACTGCCTTGGCCCCAACAAAACTGGACCCAGGTGGCCTTTGCGGAGCTGCTAAAGCCCAGTGAGCTGGACTGGCTGGCTGGCTGGCTGTGGGGAATCACTTGGCTTGTGCAGCACTTCTGGTGCCATGTTACCCTGCGGACCAGGTGATTCGCAGAGCAGTGCAGCAGCAAAAGAGGTGTATCTTGGTGCGCTGCTGCCCCGCAGACCAACTGACTGACGTGGCATTGTAGCTACACCAGTCAGGTGGAGATGTTAGGCACCAAGCAATGGCGCCTGGACATCTCCACTGATTCGTTAAAGGCCGGTTGTCCGTCACAAAATGTAACCAGCGCCCGGCTAATTTTGAACGCTGAGTCCAAGTAGAATAAATATTCTTATATCTTGAAATAGATATGAGAACCATTTTTGTCTTGTTCTTGGTTCTGGTCCTGTGACAGTGAGTGAGATTTACCTGCTTTTTGAAACCAACTCTGCAGCATGAGGCAGAACGCCTTTCTATTCCTTCCTGGAGATGAGTTAGCAAAGTTTGCTGATGACACCAAGTTGTTCAGGGTAGTTTTGAACAAAAAGAGGCTGTAAATCGCTCCAAAGGGATCTCTCCAAACTGGGTGAATGAGTATTAAAATGATAAATCTGATGCAGTGTTAATAAGTGTAAGGGGATGCATGCAAGGGGCAACATATCCTAACATTACATATATGCTATTGAGGGCTGAGCTGGTGGTGTCCTACCATTATAGGGTCATAGGGCCCAATGAAGATGTTGACCCAGGTTGTGGCAGTGGTAAAAATGGAGAATTATATTTTTGGGATCATCAGGGAAAGGATTGGAAACAGAACTGGAAATATCACAATGGCCTTATACAAGCCTATGGTGCAGCTGCACTTGAAATACTGTGTACAATCCTGGTTACCACAACTCTTAAAGGATATTATGATGCTGGAATTCAAATCCTCACTCAGCCATGAAATTCACTAGTTGTTATTGTCCCACACGTGCCTAAATTTCAGTCCCACTGTGCTCTCTGTATGATCTGTTTTGCTATGGCTCCTAGCTTTTATATCTCAGTTTCTAACACTGCAGACAACCCTTGTGAAGTAGATTAATATTTGCAAACAAAAACACTTAAGGAAGCTTTTAAAAAGCAGGTTAACCTGAGAAGTAGGTTAGGCTAAAAGAGTGGTCTGCCAAAGGCCATTCAGAAGAACTTGGCTAACTCAGCTTGGATTGAAACTGGTCTTTCTTCCGGTGGGGTGGGGTGGGGTGGGGTGGGGTGGGGGTGGATTAGGATCTGCACAAGCAGATATGGTAGCATTTATCTTGTATATGGTACTTTAGTTCTATAGTTTGGCATAACTGCTCTCATGAAGCCATCCAGTTTCTGTCAAGTTTATCATGATACATTTAAGGTGAAACTAAAATGTAATATGTTTGTCCACCTATAAATCTTCAGTCTAGTCACATTATACCCTCTAAACTCGTGTTTCCCAAACTTTGGTCTCCAGCTGTGTTGGGACTACAATTCCCACCAACCCTGACCCCACTGGTCCTGCTCGTGAGGGATGATGAGAGTTGTAGTCTAAAAACAGCTGAGACCCAAGTTTGGGAAACACTGCTCTAAATTCCTACAAAGAGCAGCCTTTGTTTAAATGCATAACTAGAATCTTTGTTGTTTTGTCTCCTTGATTTTGAAATACAATTTTTACTGTTAAGGTTGACAATTCATTGCTTCTATTTGTCCATTCCTCTTTCTAACAGGTTTTATAGTGCTTTCCTGAGCATGAATTCAGAATGAAGCGGCGATTGGATGAACAGGAGTCACCTGTGTACGCGTCACAGCAGAGACGTATCGCCAGCAACACAGAACCATTCCAACACCAGCATCGTGTTCTTGCTCCAGCACCACCTGTATATGAATCTGTTTCGGAGACCATGCAATCTGCTACTGGGATACAGTACTCTGTAACACCCAGCTACCAGGTAGAATTGCTGTCATGTTTTTTAAGCTTATGTCCTCTCAGGAAGTTCATCAATCTTCATTGCTCTGTGGGCAAACAATAACATAACAATAAAGAGCATGTTTTCTCTCTCCTCCACCTCCCGGTGTGTGAGACTCGAGCCTCCTTGCCCTTGGAAGTAGATACAGTCTTGAGGCCCATCATTTAATAGTGCAATCCTCAGCATGTTCGTTTGGAAGTAAATCTCTTGGTCAAGCTGGTACTGTCAGTAATGGGGATGGGTGTATCAGTTTAAGTAGGTGACAGGGTTCTAGCCATGCTCTTCCTGTGCCCAACTGTGGGGACTCTGCACAGGGATGCATCATTGTTGTTCAGACATGTCACTCCAGGCCAGGCTTAGCTTTCTCAAAGGAGCACTTGAAAGCAAAGCTCTAGGCTGGGCAACCAAAGATGCTTCAGCAATATGAGTTCATTTTTTGCCACAGATGTTGCTTTGATGGAAGTTATTTGGAGTCATCATTCCCAGGTGACCTCCAGAGCAATTGTTTGGAGATACCCATGCTGGCATAAGGCTTAGCGCTAGTGGCTTGTCTTTATTCTCTCCTTCCCAGGTGTCCACTGTGCCGCAGAGCTCCAGCAGTCATGGGCCCACTCTCGCAACTGCCCATAGTGGGCATCACCATCCCAACCCACCCCAGCCTCATGGCAGCCAAGTGGTGCAGAGTCATGCTCACCCAACTCCCCCTGCAGCACCAGTGCAGGGGCAGCAACAGTTCCAGAGGCTGAAGGTAAGGTCTGAGGTAGATTAAGTTGGTTTCATTTAACCTTTCTTCAGAGAAGCACAGACTGCTTGGGGAAATGAGAAAGTTACGCTGTTAGCTCAAGTGGATATCCACTTACTTGGTTGCAAGTTGCTTTGGGTTGCCGTTGGCAACATAAAGCGATTAACATATTGTATAAATGTATAAAATAAAGTGTTGTATGGCTGCGGGCTTTTAGAACTTTTAGGTCAGGGGTCAGCAAACTTTTTCAGCAGGGGGCCGGTCCACTGTCCCTTAGACCTTGTGGGGGGCTGGACTGTATTTTGAGGGGGGAAATGAACGAATTCCCATGGCCCAAAAATAACCCAGAGATGCATTTTAAATAAAAGCACACATTCTACTCATGTAAAAACACGCTGATTCCTGGACCGTCCGTGGGCCAGATTTAGAAGGCGATTGGGCCGGATCTGGGCCCCGGGCCTTAGTTTGCCTACCCATGAAGTAGGAGAATCCTGGTTTTATCTAGGGGATGTTATGCAGTTTTTGTATGAGTCTTTGCTAGCAGCTTTTGGAATAACTAGTCAAGGTTTGTTTTTGTGCCTTGCTGCAAACCTGACCAGATAAGCTATAGTGGTGTACATTGAGGAATAGCAGAAATAAGATACATACCCTGTTTTATCAATAGTTTAGTAACACTGAAGAACTTCAACTGTACTGTTATGGTTTTCTCTCTTCTTCTTACATTGCTGTTAATCTAACTGCATGGATCTCATATCTTGGCTGTTAAAAGGTTTCTTTCCCACTGCCACCCCTACATAAAGGTCAGCAACAGAGGGGGAGGCAGAAGTCAAACAGCATTTAAGTCAGTGGTGGAGGGCCTGTGACACCCCCTCCCCCAAGTTCTTGTTGGACTCCGGTTCACATCAGCCTTAGTCACCACACTAGTGGTCAAGCATAATGGGAGTTGTATGTCAGAAACAATTGGATGGCCACAGGTTCCCAATCTTTTGGTTAAGGCCACTTGCTGTCCCACTAAAATTTTGTGCAGGCCTAGGACGGTTTGATTTCTTGCGTGTTCACCTGGACAAATTATTGTATTTATATACCACATTTTTCTTTCAACAAGCTCAAGGTGGTGTACATGGTTTTCTGCCTCCCTATTTCACCCTCATAACAACCCTGTGAGGTAGGTTAGGTTAGGAGATGGTGTTGGGCCCAAGGTCTCCCAGGGAGCTTTATGGTTGTCGTCCTTGGCCAAGGAGGGCATGTCCCTGACAAGGGGATGTGTGAACTCTGATAGCCTCTGATCATCTCTTCTATAGGTTGTTTTGTTATGCTGTATTCAATACTAGTCCTACTCAAAGTAAACCCTCTGAAATTAATGAACTTAAGACAGTCCTTTTCATTAACTTTTATTCTGAGTAAGGCTGACTTTACATACATCCCATTTCTTATATGTATGTAAATATCTACTTTTTGGGGGTGTTTCTTTGTCCTGTACTTGTTTTCTGCTGCAGCATGTGCTGTTGCCACTGTCAGGCGCAGTGAGTATTACTTTGTGAAAGTATCTCTGGTATAGCTCTTGGCTGCGGCCAAGAAATGGCCTGCGGGGGGCGGGGAGAGAAGCCCTCTGAGGCGTGTTTCTCCATTTTTTAAAAGGAATTTGCCAACCAGCAATTGTGCCTTGGTTGTCGAACAAAAAAGTGAACAAAAGTTTCTATCATTGAACTCAGGAAAACTGTTACGTAAGTCTGAGGAAAGAGCACATGCATAGCCCAGCTGTTGCAGAAAAAAAAACTTTTTAAAAAACAGGTTTTCACTCAGGCTGAAATATTGCTTAAATAACCAGCCTGAAGAGTGTCTGTGGTACAGTATATTGATTTTCTGCACAGCACCCCGCTTATGAAGGGTTTGCAATTTCAGGCTTGTCCACTAGACATTTGTTTTAAAAGCCTGCTTGGAAGCCCTTCTGGGCGCTCTTATCCAACCCTTTGTAATTTGTAAATTTCCCCAGAAAGCAGCAGCAAAATGCACATCACAAAATGGCCACACCGATTACAACGTAAAACAAGAAAGTAGTGTCAGGTCCCTTACTGTGCCCCTCCTTGGAACTTTGCCTTGGGCTGCAGTAGCACTATTCACTTTTTGAGAGGACTGTTGTGTTGCATGACAAGAGATGTGAAGCTCCAGAAAGGCCACCCCCCCCCAAAAAAAAATGGTAGAAGTGTGGGACAGACTATTCTCCTCCACTCTTCCCAGTTCTCTGTTTTCCCCCCAGGCCTTTATATCTCTTATGTACGGCTGGGCTTCACAGAAGAGAGAGCTATACACAGTGCAGAATTGCTTTCTGGTGGAAGAATAAGTTTTGCTTAACTGCTTTTTTGTATCTCAGGGGTTGCATTCCCTGTGCATGTGCAAGAATGGAAATAAAATGGTGACAGAAAGACATGTTCCTAAGTTGCTTTTGTTGATCTTAGGTGGAAGATGCCCTCTCCTACCTTGACCAAGTGAAGCTGCAATTTGGCAGCCAGCCTCAAGTCTACAACGACTTCTTGGACATCATGAAGGAGTTTAAATCTCAAAGGTGCGAACCTGCTGTGTGCTTTATTTTAACAGATGCTTCTTCGGGCCATGTAGTATTTCACTAGTAAGGTCAAAATCAAATACCTGACAATATCACACATTTGAATCTTTCCCTTTGTCTGCCCTAAATTCACCACAGTCCTATCTTGCCTGCTGTTTTTTTCTTGTGCTTGTTTTCATAATTCTACTCGCAGCCAAACTTCCTTTTTTAGCCCCTGATCTGGTTAAAACCCCTCATGCCTAACACCCCCATCTATAGTGGGCCCCAAAAAAGCAAAGTTTGCTCTTAAGTATGCCTTATCCAAGGTCCAAATCATAGTCTGGATGGGCTTGATATAGCAAAGTTGCTGAAACTGGTAGGGCCTGAACATGCTTAGTGTCTTGATAGGAGGCTGTCTGAATACATAGGAAGAGAATCAATAGCAGCTATAGGAAAACACAAGTAAAATGTGAAAAAGTGGCTGCATCACTAGATATGGTTCTCAATGTATTTTGAGAAAACTCCTCTTTCAGGGAGAGGCTTTTATGCTTCATGTTCACTTCTGCAGCTGCCTTTTTTGCTTTTGAAGACTCACTTGGAACCTGTCTCATCGACTTCCACTGTGGAAGAAATGAACGTAACAAAATTAAGAAGTCCATGATTTACTTTCTGATGTTGCACTTTAAAAAGAAAAAAAATGAATTTTTATTAGCTTTTTTAATATACCCAAAGAAAAATAAAGCAAACAGGAGTTGCCCGAGTATCAAAATAAAAAGGAAATGATAAATACTACCAACAGCCACTTAACTTGTCATTGCAGATTTGATACTTGTATAAAGATTGTTTCTTGGGGGAAGGGGAAAGAAGTAGATGCTTTTGGGGGGCAGAAAAAGAAAATACAATCCCTGAGAACTCTTCTTTCTCCCCCCCCCCCATGAGATTTAGAATCTTGAGCTTTAGCAATAGATTATCAGACAAACTTGTCCTGTTCACCTTTTTGCTTATTGTGAAATGCCCATGCCTATATATTTTCTTTATTTATATTAAATATTATCTGCCTTTCATTAAAAAAATTCCAAAGTGTTAATAAAATCAATTCATAAAACAAATAAATTCAATTTGTAACCAGCAAATAAGCATTAAAAATAAATTCTTAAAAAGCTAAAAACAGAACAAACAATTCCAAAACCCATCTACAGTCTAAATGCCTGGACAAACAGGACGGTCTTCATCAGGTTCTGACAGCTTGTGGTGTCATGCCAGGTGGGCCTCCTGATGAGGGGCATTCCACAGTTGAGGTGACACCATAGGTAAGGCACTCTTCTTTATAGAAGCATGACATATTTCTGCTAAAGAGGGTAGTTGAAGCAGAACCATTCCAGAAGTTCTTCAGGGGTGGGCAGGCTGGAAAGGAAAGAGGTGCTTGTTCAAGAATTTGGTTACTTTTATTTCCCCAAGCAGCATGTTTTGTTGGCAGCTTGCCTGCCTTATTTTCTGCTAGTAGCTATAGTGGGGGATGTGTGTTAACAACATTCTCTAAATGTAGTGCTATGCATGTCTGAAATGTGTCAAATCCACAGAGGAGACCTGATCTCTCTCTTCCTCCTTGTCTTTTGATTTCACAGCATTGATACTCCAGGAGTGATTAGCCGGGTGTCTCAGCTGTTCAAAGGCCATCCTGATTTGATTATGGGTTTCAACACTTTCTTGCCTCCTGGCTACAAAATTGAAGTGCAGACTAATGACATGGTGAATGTAACGACACCAGGGCAGGTTCATCAGATCCCGACCCACGGCCTCCAGCCCCAGCCCCAGCCTCAGCCCCAGCCCCAGCATCAGCATCAGTCTCAGCCATCAGCACAGTCTGCCCCAGCCCCAGCACAGCCAGCACCACAGCCGACGCCTGCCAAGATCAGCAAGGTAACCTCAAATGAAACAGGTAGTCTCTAGCTTAGAAGTAGGGACACCTGTGGTTTCCGAACAGAGAAGGCCCTCTCAAGGGACAAAGTGAGGTTGATTTGGGGTTTTGTCAAGGAGGCATGTTGCCAAAGTGGAGAGTCAGAGACAGATAGCTGACCTTTGGGGCACAATCCGCCAACACATTCTGTGCAAGAATCACTGCACGAGCACAATATCTGTTTGGAATTTCCCTCTTCAGGCACAAAAATTTCTGGGCCAACCAAGCTTCTGCAGCTCTGTTTTGTTAGCATACCATAGTTGGTGTTATGTAAATGATCTAGCTAGGTGGATTCACAAGGGAATAGCACTGCCTTTGGGAAAGGAGTTGAAGTAGATGAGCGTCTCGTTCCTTTCATCTCTATATTGCTGCATGGTTATTCTGGGCAAGCTCTGTATCATCCTGAGGCAATAATAAGTTTTGCTGTTTGTTTTGCTTTTGAGCATAGTCAAGCAGCACTCTGGAGGGCTCACTAAGGGCTCACTCAATACGTGGCTGTTCAGGAACCAGTGTAACCCAGTGTCTGCTTTTCATTCCCAGCCATCCCAGCTACAGACACATACACCAACCAGCCAGCAGACTCCCCCAATCCCCTATGCATCCCCTCGCTCTCCACCAGTCCAGCCCCATGCACCTGTGACAATCTCTCTTGGATCCACACCATCCCTCCAGAATAACCAGCCGGTTGAGTTTAATCATGCAATCAACTACGTCAATAAGATCAAGAATCGTTTCCAGGGACAGCCAGACATTTACAAGGCTTTCTTGGAGATCCTCCATACCTATCAGGTGAGTGGGCAACTGCACAAGTCTTAATGACACCTTTTTCCTGTTCAATATTCACTTTTATATAGAAGAAAAGAGTGGCTTGTCAAGCAAAGCAGGAAAAGATGATTACTGGGTGCAGTGCTATTTTTCTAGAAAAAGAGGTACCGGAACTCACCCTGAACACCTCCCTTGTTCTCTTATAATGGCAATGGCGCCCACCTGAGAGGTGCCAGAACTCAGTTCCGGCAAGTTCTGCCTAAAAAAAGCCCTGACTGGGTGAAGCATAACAAGTAGTAAATCCCCAGCCAGTTGACACTAGCTCAGTTTTGCTTCAAACCTACCTGCTTCAAACCTTCAAAGTTCCTACCTGCAGAGCAGGAAATTTTCTCCAGAGATGCTGTTTAAAAGCCATCTTTAATGGAGATGAGTCATACAAAGGGTGCAACACTTGTAGAACAACCAGATGTGCCTCTCAAGTGTCTGGCCCTCCGTGGAATCCTTCCAGGGGCAGGAAGGAAACTTCTTCAGTGTCCTTTTTATCTTGTCATCTGATGCTTTTCTCTTGAGCTCTCATGCTAGGTGTTGTGGATTTTCTTTAAAGAGCCAGGAGAATGAAACTGGTTAGAACAGCTGCTCTGAGCTCTTCCTTTCTCTTCCATCTCATGACAGAAAGAGCAGCGGAATGCCAAGGAAGCAGGAGGCAACTACACACCGGCACTGACTGAGCAGGAGGTCTATGCCCAGGTGGCCCGTCTTTTCAAGAACCAGGAAGATCTGCTCTCGGAGTTTGGGCAGTTCCTGCCAGATGCAAACAGCTCTGTGGTGAGTTTGCTCCTAATGTTGTTACTTACAGGGCACCTTGAAGGAGAGCATTGCTTATCCTGTTCTGCTTACTCCTTATGGCATAGTGTAACTTTTGAAGTACTGGGATATGGATTAATTAATGAGGTGGGGATATTTAATTATAATAATTAAATAAACAAAATAGATTGGACTTCAGAGCAAGAGTTCCTAATTTGGGTTTCTGTTGAAGACAGGAGTGCCTAGTGTGCTCTGGTCCATGGGGTCACAAAGAGTCGGACATGACTAAACAACAAATTGTCTTATGATTCCCTTTTAGAGGATCACAGGCAAAGAGCCAATTTTCTTAGTTTCCTTTCTGGAAAGGATATACTTTGCGTGATGTGAGCTGAGTCCTGTTCTCTACGCCCGCCCCCCTGCCCCCCCCCCCCCAGTTAACAAGGCCATTTTAATATCAAGTTCCTTGAGCTCTAGAGCTTTGCCTGGGTGATTACAATTAAATACATTTGCCTGTATGGGATACTGGGATCAATAAATGTGTTTGTACATTGTTGTTTAAACAAGCTTTTAAGCAAGACAACTGCAGAGAAAGTGGAGTCTGTGAGAAATGACCATGGGGGCACAGTCAAGAAGCCCCAACTTAACAGCAAGCAGCAAAGACCTAATCAGAATGGCTGTCAGATCCGGCGGCATGCCGCAACTGGGACAACTCCTCCAGTGAAGGTGAGCATTGATCATCATCTTCATCAATAGGCTGATACCAGATACTGCAATGGTCTGTTGCAATGAGAGCAACAGAGTCCCTTGTGACCCTTAAATGTTGTATTGTGGCCTAAGCTTCTGTGGACTAGAGGCCACTGGATCAGATACATGAAGGTGTTTCATTAGTTGGTAGATGCACATATTTATGTTTGAAAACAGTAGGATTGGGCTGGAGGAGGAGACCATGAAGAAGGTCACAGAAGGTCTGCTGCATTTCTGCATAAAGCCCAAAGCAAGAACAGAGTGAGCTGTTAGTGGGACAGCGGTCCCTGATTGACTGTATGCTTAGTTGTAAGTTACAAATGCGCTCATTTTAGCTGGAAAATCATTTGTTCATCAGAGCCTATCAGAGCTTTTGAATCATTGTCTTCCTAATATTTATTTGCGGCTCATTCTCTCTTTCTGCAGAAGAAACCAAAGCTGCTCGGTTTGAAGGACCCTTCAGTGGTAGAAGCTGGAAAACATGGGACAGAGTCTCTGTTCTTTGACAAGGTGAGGCTTTGGATGACATCTGCTGAAGCAGCCATTGGTTTTCAAACAGCCCTAGCGCTTTCTTTTATTTGAGTCCTACTCCCAGATCAGTGTGCATTAGGAAAGCAGCCTTAAGCCTCCCAGATGTTACCTGTCTGTCAGTCTCAGCATCTAACATGGGGGGGGGGGCTTTTGACCCTCTCACACAACTTCAGCATCACTGCCCCACAGAGAGCCAGTGTGGTGTAGTGGTTAAGAGCGGTAGTCGCGTAATCTGGGGAACCGGGTTCGCGTCTCCGCTCCTCCACATGCAGCTGCTGGGTGACCTTGGGCCAGTCACACTTCTCTGAAGTCTCTCAGCCCCACTCACCTCACAGAGTGTTTGTTGTGGGGGAGGAAGGGAAAGGAGAATGTTAGCCGCTTTGAGACTCCTGAAGGGGAGTGAAAGGCGGGATATCAAATCCAAACTCTTCTTCTTCTTTTCGCACCTCAGCCGGCTGTATATTTCTCCTGACTAGGTGAGATCTCTGATTTCTAGATACCTTTTGAAGCCACTGTTTCAGAGACTAAATGACATTTTGAAAATTTGCAAAACCCCAGCAAATTCCGAAGAAAGTACCCTTCTGTACAAAAGTAGCAGTGAACTAGGCGGCTTTGCATTATAATTTTCAGCAATGAAAACAATTGCAACTATTAAAAAGAGTTTCATGTTTAAAAACAATTTCAGATGCAACTGAACAACATTTTCATTTGTCAGATACTAAGATTAACCAGCTTTAAAACAGCATAATAATAATCTACCAAAGTGGATTCAAGGCTTGTTTAAATTGTTTAAATTTTATATAGATGTTTATTCCATTTATGAATTGTTTCCCATGTTGCATCCCAAAGAGATGGTGTTAAGTATAGTGTATTGACGATGTTGTCATTCATTTTTCTCAACAATTTGCTAACCATATTTTTCCTTCTCCCACAAGGTTCGGAAAGCTCTGCGAAGCACAGAAGCATATGAGAATTTCCTCCGTTGCCTGGTCATTTTTAATCAGGAGGTGATATCCCGAGCTGAGCTTGTGCAGTTAGTTTCTCCATTTTTGGGGTAAGTGAAATAAATGATACTTGGCTGCATGTTTCATTGCCAGCTGTTTGTACATTGGGGTGCTTGACAAAGGAGATGAATTTACTGGCTGCATTGAGTCAACTTGATTTGGGAATTAGCAGCAGTGAACATTGGGCTCACTTGCTCCCTCCCCTGCTTTCCTTCTTCCTCCAATTGCAAGGCGAAGAGATTAGATGCTTCTGCTTCTAGTTGGTTGCAAACCATAGTTGTGGTGCTGAATCCACACAGCAAAATGTGGCATGCTTAAACCACAATTCCAAACAAGAATAAGTTATGGCAATGCAGTTTGTCCTTTTTTGTGTCCTAAATGTGTAAATCGTTTAGACAAAAGACTTAGATAATCTTCCTGCAACCATTGAGTTCTATAATCTTTTCTCTCCCATTTCCCCCCCTCTTTTTAGGAAATTCCCAGAGCTGTTCACTTGGTTTAAAAACTTTCTGGGCTACAAAGAGTCTGCACACATGGAGACTTTCCCTAAGGAACGGGCTACAGAAGGGATAGCAATGGAAATAGACTACGCTTCTTGTAAGAGACTTGGCTCTAGCTACAGAGCCTTGCCGAAGAGCTACCAGCAGCCCAAGTGCACTGGTCGGACTCCGTTGTGTAAGGAGGTAAGGCAGCATTCTTCATATTGAAGTAAATGATGCTAGTGGAAAATAGGAAGGTGCTGTGCATCAGCTTGGACAGTTGCCTAGCCCAGGAGAGTCTGCTCTGTATGGCAGTGGCTCTCTATCGTCTCAGGGAAAGATCTTTCCCATCATTTGCTGCAGCATAATAAATTGGAGGTGCCTGGGACATTCCTTTAAGCCATGTGTGCTACCACTGGGCTGTCGTTCTTTCCTTGGATGAGGTTCAGAGGAAGAGCCCTTGGAATGACAGTACCCTGAGACTTAAGTAGGCAGGAGGAAAATGTCGCAACTTTGGCCAAAGTGACTGAAGTCGTAAGCTTTCTTTCTTTTTGCAAAAATAACAGGAAAAGAAGAAACAGCAGCTAGCACCAACAATTAAAGTATTCTGTCAATCCTGACTTAAATGTATAAATTAATGTAGGCAGTCCATATGTCCGAATAAATATCCAGATTATTATAAAATGTACATAATTTCTTTTCCAATTAATTTCATTTTAATTTTCACAATTTTAACAAATTAACATCAAATTTTACACCAAATTTCTACACATTTTAAAAGTTGACTCCTCACCCTTCTTCCGTGGTGTTTCTATTCCCACCCATTCCTGCAGCAGTTATACCTATATCTATTCCACATTCCCTTCATTACAAATTTATCATTCATCTTCTGCTGCTCATATTTTAATCCTGCCTGCAATTCCATTTAACTATGATATTTCCCAAATTGTCCAAATAAGGATCTCATTCTTCCACAAAAGATTTCTCATTAGATCTCTTCTTTTGCTGTCACCTCCCACATGGACAAGAGTGCCTTCTACTTTAAGCCAAATTAATCAAATTTATAAGGAAGCCAGCTGCTTACATGTTCGCTTCTGAGGCTTTTCGGCAGTGGAGTCAGCAGAGATGTCCATCCACCCCTTGCCTCTCCTGCCTGTATCAGAGTCCTTTGACTCTGGCAGGGAGAGGGAGCAAACAGTGCTTGGGGCATAATTTGCCACCCTGGTACCACCAGAGTGTTTGAGGAATGCATTTGCCTTTTCTGCCCCCTATATTCTCTATCCAAGTCTCCCTGATCTTTGAGATAAGCTCTCATGGTCACTACTCAACTTGGGAGTCAGCTGTACATTATTTCAAGCACCCAGGATGTGAGCAGGCTCAAATGGGGAATATATTGTATACGATCCCTGATGCCAGGAGCCGTGAACCGGTGGCCCTCTAGGATTTGGATTGCAACTCCCATCATGCTCTGAACAAGTGTCCTGCACACTAACCAGCACATCATGCTAGCTCCCAAAAGTCTGAGGCAGTGGGAGTTGTTATCCCACAAATAGCAACCCTCCCTGCCTTAAATACAGTGGTACCTCAGGTTAAGAACTTAGTTCGTTCCAGAGGTCCGTTCTTAACCTGAGGTACCACTTTAGCTATTGGGACCTCCCGCCACTGCCACACGATTTCTGTTCTCATCCTGAAGCAAATTTCTTACCCCGAGGTACTATTTCTGGTTAGCAGAGTCTGTAACCTGAAGCGTCTGTAACCTGAGGTACCATTGTAGTCTTCACTCGCTCAAAGGGTACTGTAGTGACAAATGCCTCAAGAGTTACACCTCACAGTTGATAAATCATATGATGTCACTTCCGGTTGGTCGCCCAATAATGGCAGTCGGGAGCTCTTTCGGCTGAAAGAGCCCCAGCGCTTTGAAATTGGGGCGACCACGAGAGCGTTGTGGTTCCCCATTAAAAACCTCAGATCAAGCGTTCTGAGGACCTGGTGTTCTGGCGGGTGCCTTCCAGCCACTCCCCGGTAAGCTTGTAAGAGCCCCGAAAGCAAGCGGGTTCGGAGACGTGGCACAGCGGAAACGACCGCTTCCTTCAAAGCAGCGAAGCTCCGAGACTGGCGATCGTGAGCGGCCAATTCCTTCAGGGGGGAAAAAAAGACTTAAAAATTTGGAACTGTAAGTAACTACAATAAATAATTGGATGAGAAGGGAGACTTAAAAATGGAGGTCGGTCCCATTTTGTTGGAGAAAAAGAGAATTGGTGTACAAAGACCAAAGCCCTAATGAAGTGAAAGGTTTTTAAAACTTTGCAAGCAATTTTACTCCCCCTCCTCGAGGGTAGAGGGGGTATTTGTGTTTAAGACCTAGGAAGATTGTGAATTTGATTGAGACTTCCCCATTCTGCAGCGGACCACCCAGGAGGGAAGACTAGTCTCCATTGTGATCTCACAGTGGAAGAGGAAGCATTCATTCTCCGTTTCCACTGACTTTGTTACAAACTTTCCGGAGCTGCCTGGCTATACTTTAAATTGATAAAAAGTGTCTTCTTCCCTCAGAACAAAGGGGAGCTCCAGAGATTTTTCTTTCTGCCACCCTGGCTTTTGGTTTCCAGCCTGTTTGAAAGAACAGGGACACAGCCTCTGGGCCAGCTGCAGTGGGACTGGTGGAGGGAAATTGTTATTTTCCACCACTGTGCCAGACTGTGGGACTGACCTTGACATTCCTAAGCTATTATGTGCCCAGAAAAAACAAGACGTGGCTCTAAAGCCCAGCAATTTGAGGAGTCGGTGATTGCAATCTTGAGTGGCATTAGAGAAGGTTTAAATCGTAATACAGCAAGTATTGATAAATTGGATAAAAGAATTGAGCTTTTAAGCACTGACTTAAAGGAAGTAAAAGATGAGATAACCACGCATGACACAAGGATGGCACAGCTGGAGACAGTGCCAGATTTGGAACAGATGTGATATGAAAATGCCAATGCAATTGCCTTTCTGCAGTTGAAGGGAAAAGAATCGCATTTGAGATTGAGGGGGGGGGGTCCCTTTTTGGAAGAGGAAAAACTCAAGGAGTCTCTGATAGGATTTTTTGTGGAATGCTGGGACCTCAAAAAAGAGGAAGTGGAAGCTTGGATAGAGAAAGCTTATAGATTCGGACCCAAAAAGGATACTAAAATAACTTATGATTGTATAGTGGTCTTTAAGACCAAGGAGCAAAGGGATATCATTCTGGGACACCACTACAGAAAAGGCCTAAAAATCCAGGATAAATCTGTGGTGCTCTTTAAAGAGATCCCACGCCAATTTTTGAACCTGAGATCCCAATATACGGATTTGACAAAGATCTTGAGGAGGAAGAACATCTTTTTTAGGTGGGAGTTTCCAGAGGGCCTATCCTTCAAATTTGAAGGAAGAAAGCAAAAGATAAAGACTCAGTGGAACTTGGATTACAGAGCCCACCGCTGTTGGGAGCGGAGGCTACACCCTCTTAATTTGACATCATGGCGCTGAGAATTTATTCATGGAACGTAAATTGTTTGAACTCTCCTCAGAAAAGGAGACAAATTTATCATGTTTTGGAAAAACAGAATTTGGATATAATTTGTTTACAGGAAACCCACATCACAAGACTACATAGGAAAATGTTAATAAACAAAAGATTGGGACAATAATTTATTTCTTCTGACAAATTTAAAAAAAGAGGAGTGGTTTTCTATATTAAGGAAAAATGGAATCCAAAATTGGCATTTAAAGATGAGGAAGGAAGACACATAGCAGTTGAAATTACAGCACAAGGCGAGAAATATTTGTTACGCACCTAATGATGGCAAAGCGGACTTTTTCATGAATTTGGAAACAAGTCTTTTGGAATATATGGATTACAAATTAATATTGATTGGGGACTTGAATGGAGTTGCATCTACTTTGATGGATAGGACTCGGAGATTAAAGGTATAAAATTCTGGCAGATTACCCAAGACTTTTTTTTACTTAACTGATAAATTTGATTGTCAGATATATGGAGAATCAGAAATCCAATGGAAAAAGACTTCCCCCTTTTTTCAGATGCAAATCAAGTATTTTCGAGAATAGACTACTTATGGATATCCAGAGACTTGGTTCCTAAAGTAACAAAAACGGAAATTTGCCCTAAAACTTGCTCTGATCACAATTCAGTTTTTATGGACCTGAAAATGTTTGTACAGGGTTCCTTCAGATGGAGAATGAATGATGATTTGTTGAGAAGTACATCAATTGTTAATAAGGCCAAAAAACCCTAAAGGATTATTTTGAACTTAATATGAACCAGGGAATGGAAACAAGGGTTATTTGGGACGCTAGCAAGGCAGTAATGAGAGGGTTTCTGATACAACAAAATTCAGTTAGGAGAAAGTTACAGAATGAGAGAAAAGATATAATTATGGACCAATTAAAAGATAAAGAGAAGAAGCTCAGAGGAAATCCAAAGAATCTGCAGATACAAAAAGGAATTAAGGCCTTACAGGTTCAATATTCACAGTTAGTAAATAGAAATAGAATAGACGTTGAGAAGGATGAGACAAAGAAATTTTGAATCCACAAATAAATGTGGGAAACTATTGGCCTGGCAATTAAAGAAGAGACAAAAGCAAAGTACTATCACAAATATTCTAACAGACAGAAAATCTGTAGAGAACCCTGAAGACATAAATGTTTTTATAAATATTATAAACAACTGTATAAAAAGGATAAAGAGGACTTGGTAAAAATTGAGCAATTTATTAAGATTAATGGTTTGCAGAAGATTCCAGAAGATAAAAAGATCCTACTAAAGGGTCTAATCACAAGACAGGAAGTGGAACAGGCAATAAACTCAATGCAACTTGGCAAGGCCAGATGGTCTATCAGCGAAATACTATAAGATATTGAAAGACTGGCTTATCCAACCTCTGGTAGAATTATGTAATCTGATTCTACGAGGGGGCAAAGCACCTGAAACCTGGAAGGAAGCATATGTTACTCTGATTCCCAAGCAGGGTCAAGATAGATCCAATGTCAAGAACTACAGACCAATTTCCCTACTTAATGTGGATTACAAATTTTTGCAAATATATTGGCCAAAAGGCTAAAGAAAGTTTTATCTAAGTATATCCACAAGGACCAGGCAGGATTTCTGCCTGGAAGGCATATGAAAGATAATATTAGAAATGTGGATATTTTGGAAAAATTGGAAGCAAGAAGGAGCTGTAAAGCAATGTTAATGTATATTGATGCAGAGAAGGCCTTTGACAATGTATCTTGGAGTTTTATTTACATAATTTTGATAACATGGGGGTTGGTCAAGACTTTCTAAATGGTATTAAAGCGCTCTATCAAGAACAAAAAGCTAAAATTATTGTAAATAATGTGGTATCAGAGGAAATTAGACTAGAGAAGGGAACCAGGCAAGGGTGCCCACTTTCCCCTCTGCTGTTTATTTCGGTCCTAGAGGTCTTGCTAAGTATGATTAGAAAAGATGAACAAATTAAAGGTATTACAGTAGGATCCAAGCAATATAAATTAAAAGCCTTTGCTGATGACTTAGTATTGACATTACAAGATCCAGACTCCAGTGCAGTAAAAGCTCTGGAGCTGATACAAGAATTTGGCAGGTAGCGGGATTTAAGTTAAACAAGAGCAAAACCAAAGTATTAGAGAAAAATCTGGACAATGATGAAAGAAAACTTTACAAGAAAAGACAGGCCTAGATTTTGTGAAAAAAGTTAAATATTTGGGGGTGAACCTGTCTGGGAAAAATCTGAACTTGTACAAAGATAATTATGAGAAATTATGGAATGAAATTAAGAGCGATTTGGAGATATGGTCAAAGCTAATATTGTCATTAATGGGCCGGATCTCAGTAGTTAAGATGAGTTTGTTGCCAAAGATGATTTTTTTGTTTCAAGCTCTCCCAATTATAGATAATGTGAAATGTTTTAAAGAATGGCAGAAAGCTTTATCTAGATTTATCTGGCAGGGGAAAAAACCCAGAATAAAATAGAAATTACTTACGGATTCTAAAGAAAGAGGGGGATTTTCCCTGCCAGATTTGAAAATCTATTTTGAGGCAGCAGCGCTTTGTTGGATTAAAGAATGGATACAATTAGAAGATACAGATGTATTAGATTTGGAGGGATTTGATAATGTATTTGGATGGCATGCATATTTATGGTATGATAAGGTAAAGGCCGATAATGCATTTAAAAATCATGTAATTAGGAAATCGTTGTACAATGTTTGGATAAAAGACAAAGATCTTTTAGAAAGGAAGATGCCCAGATGGCTTTCACCAATGGAGGCGAAGGCCCAGAAAAAGTTAAATATGGAAATAAAATGCTTGAGATATTCAGATTTATTATTGGAAGATAATGAAGGCTACAAACTAAAACCATTTGATCAAGTTAAAGATAAGTTAAATTGGTTACATTACCACCAGATTAATGAATTGTATAAAATAGACAGGAAAAATGGTTTTGCCTCGGAAAAATCTAAGTTGGAGACGGAGTTGTTGGATTCTAAAGCTAAAAATCTGTCTAAAATGTATAAGTTACTGTTGGAGTGGCATACAAAGGATGAACAAGTTAAATCAGTAATGATAGATTGGGCAAGAGATGTAGGACACAACATAATGTTCAAGAATTGGGAAAGACTGTGGAAGAAAGGGGTCAGGTTCACCTTCACCGCATGTACAATGTTAAAGGAGAATATAATGAAAATGATGTATAGATGGTATTTGACCCCTGTCAAATTAGCAAAGATTTATCATAACTGTGATAATCTATGTTGGAAATGTAAAGAAAAAGAAGGAACATTTTATCACGTGGTGGACCTGCCCCAAGGTGAAAGACTTCTGGGAAAAGATTTATAAAGAATTGAAAAAAAAGTTGGAATATACATTTATAAAGAAACCAGAGGCGTTTCTTCTTGGAATAACAGGTTTGGAATTGCCCAAGAAAGATGTTAAATTATTTTTGCATGCCACAACTGCTGCTCAAATACTATTAGCTAAGAAGTGGAAAACGCAAGAACTACCAACTGTGGAAGAATGGCAGATGAAGATGATGAACTTTTCGGAGCTAGCTGACCTGACCGGAAGAGTCTGCGATCAGAATGAGGAGGAGTATCAGGAAGAATGGAAGAAATTCAATGACTATTTAGCTAAATACATCAAGTTAAAATAATTGGAAAAAGCTTGCAATTACCAACTAGACCTAGGATTTAAATAAGTAATGTGAGGAATTACAGTGGTGCCTCGCAAGACGAAATTAATTCGTTCCGCGAGTTTTTTTGTCTTGCGGTTTTTTTCGTCTTGCGAAGCACGGTGTCGGAAAAGTTTTGGAAAAGCTTCAAAAATCACCAAAGTCTTCAAAAACCTCAAAAAGGCTACCACACCGCGTGCTATGAGTTGCTCCTCGAAGTCAAGTCGCAACTGTATTAACAGTTTTAAGAAAAAGGAAACAAACTTGCAAGACGTTTCCGTCTTGCGAAGCAAGCCCATAGGGAAAATCGTCTTGCGAAGCAACTCAAAAAACCAAAAACCCTTTCGTTTTGCGAGTTTTCCGTCTTGCGAGGCATTCGTCTTGCGAGGTACCACTGTATCATGTTTAATGCTGAATTGGGAAGATTGACTGATGTTAAGGGATTAAGTTAAGATTTTAAGACTTTTTAGTTGGAAAACCGTTCAAATGATTTGCATTGAAACCCAACTAGGGGGACTTGAGGACGTCAGTTAACAATGTTAAAAAGATAAGTTTTAATAAGGATATGATATATGTTTGTTTATTTATTTGTTTGTGTGTGTTTTAATTTTGTGAAAACCCAATACAAAATTTTTGGGGAAAAGAAAGATAAATCATATGATGTCAAGGGCGTGTCTGAAATGGCATTATGGCAGGGGTCTCCATCTTGTCAAGAGCCTACATGCACCTAAAAACTCACCCTGGCAAGATGGTGCCCATTTTCAAGAGACCAAGCTGCGGACAAACACCGGCTCCCTCGGCCTGAAGCAAGATGAGCGCTGCACCCCATAGTTGAATTTGACTGGACTTAGACTGTCCAAAGGTCCTTTACCTTTATCTTACCTGTACTGGGTCCTTTTAAAAAAAAGTTTGACATGGCCTATATTGAGGTTAGAAAGAATGTTAGAGTTGAGCATGGAGACCAATAAAATGCATCATTATTAGGTTATTTTCTCTGGGTTGATATCTACATAGTGCTTTAAGATAAGAAAAACGTGTCTCATTTTAGGCCTCCAAATCAGGAATTCTTTGCACTGCAAATTTGGTCAGCCTTATGCAACTTAAACTGTAAGCACCTTTCTTCAAGTTGCAAAAATTAATTTCTGTCTGTGCATATTTCTTGTCTAAGCCCTTTAAATTGACCAGTGGAGTAAAACAAATTTGTACACTTTTTTATTTCTATATCAATGACATGGTCCTACATTTAACTTTGGTGGAAATCAAACATTCAGTGTAACTTGAATTACTATCATTTCCACGAGCTAAATGAGATCATGATCATAGACAAGTGTCAACTAAGGGACTGGTGTTACTGGACAGAATCTCAACGGGATTTTCAAGTAATCAAATCCTCAGAAGTTCCCTGTGGTTTCTACTCTTATAAACGGTGCATTTGAGAGCCAACTCCCTGTCTAAACTTTGGCCAGCTTCATTAGGATCTTCCTTTGCTGAGCTGTGTTTCCATTGCCCTCTGCTGTCCTGTATGGGCATTATAATAGGGTTCCATACACATATAGATATTTTATTTGTGGGCAGTTGCGAGTGGAGGACACCCAGCAATATTTATTACAGTACCCACTATCCTCAGAACCTAGGAGACACTTTCTAAATCCCTTGGTTGTCCAGGAAAGCTGTCTCTCCCTGGCAGAGAGGGGTCTATGGCTGCTCAGGGATGCTAATGCTCCAATGACTTATAACGTGACCCTCTTCGCGCTGGTGGCAAGAAAGATCGGTAAGAAAAACCTGGACAAAATTGCAGTAAACTGTAAGGGAGATTCAGAGGCCTAAATAGGAAACTCTCGCAAGCTGTGTGACGCCCTCATTCTACACGAGCATTTGCATTTTATGATCTTGATGGTTCAGGCAGTGGCTCTGCTTTTTATATGTAATTATATAGATACTTCTTTTTCCTCACAGTGTTGGTATGATTTTGTCATGGCCTTTGGCAAGTACAGTAAAGCTTATTTTATTGTTGTGTGTCTACTGGTGTTACTTGAGTGGTTTCTACAGAACGTGCATAAAGTGCAGGCGTGGGCACACTTGGGTTTAAAGGCCTGTGCATGTTATCTACACTGCATATTTACTTTGTGAAACACCAGTGTCAGTGCCGATACGTCCATAGCAACTGTGCTCACCTCATAAAGTGTAGAGCCACTCTGAGGTACTGTCATGTGATTTTATGTGTGGATTGCAAAGTCTAGTCTTCTTAAAATCCAAGGCACGTTGTAGTGTGTTAGGCAGAAATAGAAATGACTGTTACTGTGGTCCTGCAGGTGGAGCTCAAGCGCTCCTATTGAGTTTTGCTCAAAGCATGATGGTTTCTATTACTTTTAATCTTACAACTAAACTGACCAATGGATCAAAAATTCAGAAAATCTTTTGTTGTTGCCCTTTCTTGTACATCTATGACAGTTCCCAAAAATCTGTAAGAATTTACTTTATGTAGGAGCTAGAATTATCGGTATCTGGCTACTCTTAAATGAGATGCTTCTCTCTCCTCCTAAGGTTTTGAATGACACCTGGGTCTCCTTTCCATCCTGGTCTGAAGATTCCACGTTTGTGAGCTCCAAGAAGACTCAGTATGAAGAGCACATCTACCGGTGTGAGGATGAACGATTTGAGGTAGCTATATCAGAGCTTAATGTCATGGGAAGCTTGTGATACTATGTTAGGTTGACTTAATATGTGCTTTGATGAATGAATAGTTCTTGATAGCTTTGGTGTAAAGCACTAACCAAGAGTGTGGGTTGTGAGAAGGAAGGCCACCAATTTGAACCTTGCTCCCACAGCAAACAGAGTAGGAGCCTAAAAGACTCACCTCTGCTTCTGTAATATGGGGTAATAATACCAGCATTCCTTGCAAGGTTGTTGTAAGGATTGACTATGGTTGTGTATGTGAGGTGCTTTGAGCACTCAGTGCTGTATAAATGCACAATAGTAGTATCATGGTGGTTTGCTATAGTCTTCCTATCTTACCCTCCCAGATATAATACTTGTCAAAACTTTGCTTGCTGCCATGTGCATCTCCTGAAAGTGAGTAGCTGCAGGCTCATAGGTTTGATGTTTTGCTTCACATAGAAATTAAATTACCTATTACAATAGCACCCTCCACCCACCCAAAAATTAGATTTAAAGACTATTGGATGTGAATAAGGGTTTTGTTTGGATCTATTGCTCTGCTTTTCATCTCAGTTTCCACCATCTTACACAGTGTTGAAAAGCCTTTTGTACTATATGTAAGAACCCCATTCCCACATATGCCAGAATTTGTTTATTTTTTATAGTTTTTATAGTTTATTGCTATAAGCCATGGCTGATGCATGCTCTCCATTTCAGCTGGATGTTGTCTTGGAGACCAACCTAGCAACCATCAGAGTCCTAGAGACGATACAGAAGAAACTCTCACGCTTATCAGCTGAGGAGCAGGCCAAATTCCGGCTGGACAACACTTTGGGCGGCTCCTCAGAAGTTATTCATCGCAAGGCATTGCAGAGGATATATGCTGACAAGGCAGCTGACATCATTGATGGGCTTAGGAAGAACCCAGCCGTCGCAGTCCCTATTGTGTTGAAAAGGTAACTGGGAAATGCAGGTGGAGCACCCTCATCCCCCTCCTTTTTCAGTTTCCCCAAGTGCTGCTTTTTAATGATGGTTTTTTGGGTGGCATTTTTGTCCTGTCATTTAGCAAGGTTCTCAGTGTGACTGATGATTCATTGCACAATTTAAAAAGCAATTTCAGGTAGACCCTTGCCTACGTGGAAGTTACATCCCAAGGCACTGCAAATACCAGTTAAATTGTATATAATTGAAACACATTGAAAAAGCCTGCAACGCCCCACCCCCCGTTCCACCCTTTTAGTGACGTTTCAGTGACATCTTTATGATGTTTTAGGGTCCCTTCTGTGTTTGGCACAATTCACTAGCATAAGGTTGCACACATATTGAACAAGTGTGAAGGGAGGCTGCCTGTAATTTAAAAGGCAATATAAAAATACATATCCATTAAGTGAGTGTGTGTACTATATATAGAATTATAGAATCATAGAAGCTTAGAGCTGGAACTGCCTGCAGTGCAGGAATCCCAGCTAAAGCATCCATGGCAGATGACCATCCAACCTCTGCTAAAAAACTTCCAAGAAATGAGAGTCCACAGCCCCCCAGGTGAGACCATTCCAGTGTCAAAGAGCTCTTTCTTATATATGCACAGCCTCAAATTCCACAACAGAGACAAAAACTTAATCAATACAATAAATTAAAAGGCCCGGTGCCAAAGAGATGCCAAAGAAGGCACCAGGTCAGCTTCTCCAGGGAGGACATTCCAAAGCTAGGCAAGGAAAATGCCATCTGTCATGTTGACAGGAGTTCATAGTTGAGGGTCACATACAAAGATCTCTGGCTGGGTAGGTATATGCAAAAGAGCAGTCCTTACAAGGTAACCTGGTCACAATCTGTAAAGAAATATAAAGTCAAAGCTAAGACTTTGAATTGGACCAGGAGTGGACCAGGAGCCTGTGCAGCAGTCAGGGCACTCCGCCCCAGCTTGCAGTTTGTATTCAAAAGTCACTCAAGTTCCAGGCAATTCTCAAAAGCAGCCTCCCTTGCATCACGTTGCTTATGGCCCAGAGAAGCTCAACGCTGGTGACCACTCACATTTGTCTCTCGCGCCCCCCCCCCACACTGAGCTCAAAGTGGCATATATGGATGGGTTTTAGCTCGCTTTATCCTCACAAAAGCCCTGTGACATAGATTAGACCAAGAGCATGTGGTGAGCTGCACAGTTGAGTGAGGTTTGGAACATGGATCTCCTGCACCCAAGTCCATCATGCTAGCTGTGGATTCAAATGAAGTTACAGCAAAGCAGCTGCTACAGGAGAGTGGATGGTAAACTTCTGTTCATGGCAGAGAATGTTTTTTTAAACAGGGAAAGATCCGCAATGGTGATTAATCTGGAATGTTCTGATCTAGTCATGAATTATAATACAGTGGACTCTCGGGTTGCGAACTGATCCATGCGGGGGGCAGGTTCACAACCCGCAACGTCCGCAACCCGCAGCACCACGTCTGCGCACGCACGGGTTGCGATTCGGTACTTTTGCGTATGCACATGCGCCAAAACCCGGAAGTAATCTGTTCCGGTACTTCCAGGTTTTGGCGCTCCGTATCCCAAAAACGCGCAACCTGAAGTGTCTGTAACCCAAGGTATGACTGTAGAGCTCAAGACCAAAGTAGCCCATTTTCTGTGTTACATCACCTTCTGCTCGTGTTCTCCCATGCTGAATGTGGTCAAATCACGAATGCCTTGAATATCCCTTGAATGTTAAAGTCTGTCAAAGGCAGGATGCTTTATTCCTGCTAGTCCTCGTGGCTGTACTCATCTCTCAGGCCATGTTGCCTTTCTTTCTGTTAAGGTTAAAAATGAAAGAGGAGGAGTGGAGAGAAGCCCAGAGAGGATTCAACAAAGTATGGCGGGAACAGAATGAGAAATACTACCTGAAGTCCCTTGACCACCAGGGCATCAACTTTAAACAAAATGACACCAAGGTCTTAAGATCAAAGAGCCTTCTTAGCGAGATTGAGACTATTTACGATGAGGTAGGTTGGAGGCTTTGCCCTCTCTGTTTCAACCTTATTTCATCCTGATTGACAATTGATGGAAAGGATGTTGTGTAACCCGAAGCATTTGTAACACGAGGTACCACTGTACTATAATCTGAGGTGGGCAAAAGGGTTTTGGATAGAGAGGAGAAATAGCTGCACCGATGGTGGGAAAGCTTTCAAGGAAACTGGTCCTTTTGGGTGCCATGAAGTCTGCTCTGGCCTCCAGATGAGTGGCTTTGTATAAACTAGAGCTGTCCAAGTGGTCGATTGTGAGCTGCTGGTCAATCGTGGGTTGATCCTGGTTGATCACATGAAAACAACTCTGGCCTCTCCCCCTAAAAAAAAGCTCAGCAACTTTGGTCAATCCAGTGGGTAGATCACTGCCAGTTTATTTATAGTGGGAGCAGATCGCAGTCTCTTGGAAGTTGGTCACCCCTGGTATAAACTTAATTAGTTGCGCAGATCTTTTTATACTTACTGGGGTAGAGCACTTTCCTGTCCAGCCCAGTCAGTGATTTTCAGCTGATGAGAGAAGAGAGCCATGTGGAGATGGATTTCATGCTCTTTCTCTCCTGATTTTCAGAGGCAGGAGCAGACTTCTGAAGATAACATTGGCCCTCACCTGTCCTTAGCCTACGAAGATAAACAGATCCTGGATGACGCTGCCTCTCTAATTATCCACCACGTGAAGCGGCAGACAGGCATCCAGAAAGAGGACAAATACAAAATCAAGCAGATCATGTATCACTTCATCCCAGACCTGCTCTTTGCTCAGCGAGGCGAGCTGTCTGATGTGGAGGAGGAGGAAGAGGAAGAGATGGATGTGGACGAAGGCTCAGGGGCTGTGAAAAAGCACAATGGTGTGGGGGGTAGTAGCCCTCCTAAAGCCAAGCTGCTCTTCAGCAACACGGCAGCCCAGAAGCTGCGTGGAATGGATGAAGTCTACAACTTGTTCTATGTCAACAACAACTGGTACATTTTCCTCCGTCTCCACCAGATCCTCTGCTTGCGGTTGCTGCGAATATACAACCAGGCCGAACGGCAGATTGAAGAGGAGAATCGGGAAAGGGAGTGGGAGCGGGATGTGCTGGGTGTCAAGCGTGACAAGAGTGACAGCCCTGCCATCCAGCTGCGGTTGAAAGAGCCAAGTGAGTACACCCATACTTGGCTGGGGCTAGTGTGGCAGGTGCTGGTCTTTGACAATGGTCTCCAAGGCAGACGTGGTGGGGCCGCTTTCTGTTGTAAAGAGCCATCTTCCTTCCCATCAGCACAGTTTGGCTTTTGCTCCAGCCAAGAAAGGCCCTTGTCATCTGCTACAACCTAGAGTGATGGCAATAACTTAAGGGGCTTTAGAATGAGTGTTAGCTCTGCGCTCAATGAATTTATCCACCAGTGGCTATCAGCTACTATAGCTACGTGGAGGCTCCAGATGCAGTAGGTGTATAGCTCTGAATGCCAGGCTCTGGGAGCAAGGAATGGAAGGGACTGCAACTTTTCTGTCCAGCCAGTAAGCCTTCCTGAACTGCCTGCAAGCAGAATGCTGGATAGGTCTTCCTCTGCAGTCAAGAGGGATAACTCCTATTCTCTTGCTCTTCTCCTTTCCCTGTTGCTTGTTTGCCTCTGCTGCCAGAGATTGATGTCCCCAAAACTTCAACCGGATTGGTTAATGATTATAACCCAAACAACAATAAATGGTTCAAACTATTGTTTATTTTTTAAGTTGAGAGATAAGAAATAGAGGATACAATGCTAAGTCCAGTGAAGGACCCAGACAAGAATAAAGTTAAAAGGGTACTGAATAAAACTGGACAAAGTATTTTTTTTTATTAAAAAAAAATGCAAGTTTCAGCAGTTACATGGAAAGATTCAAATCTTGGTAACTCTTTGCTAGCAAGCAGTGAGTAATAGGTATCTCATTAGCGAAGAGAAGGAAATGGGCTTCTGCATCTACCTGATAAGGAAGGAAGATATGACATCCCAAACACATACAGTCGTACCTCGGAAGTCAAACAGAATCTGTTCTGGAAGTCCATTCGGCTTCTGATTGGCTGCAGGAAGCTCGGCGTTCGGGAGCCGAGGTATGACTGTATAGGTGGCCAAGAGAGGACTGGCATAGATAGATAGATAGATAGATAGATCCCAGCCGCCCCCCTTCAAGCATTTTTAAGTAATGACAGGTGTCTCCCTCTTTACGTTCCTGGGTATGCTCCATGTATACATGTGATTGCGTAGAGTGGGGAACACCATCTAAAAGCCAAACTCTGCCCAAAATTGGCCAAACTCCATCACAGTCTCTCCCTCCAAATCTTTTTCTCAAACTCCAATATAATCTCCCACCTTCCTACTGGCCCATATCAACATTTAATGGCCAGGTGGTGAGAGGGAGGGAGAAGCAGGTCTCACGTGGAGCATCCTTCTTTCCCCTTTTAGTGGATATCGATGTGGAAGATTACTACCCAGCTTTCCTAGACATGGTGCGGAACCTGCTGGACGGCAACATGGACTCTTCGCAATATGAGGACTCTCTTCGTGAGATGTTCACCATCCATGCCTACATTGCCTTCACCATGGACAAGCTGATTCAGAGTATTGTTAGACAGGTGAGGAGGGGACAGGGGATCTGGGGCTTTCAAGAAAGAACAGGCCTTGTCAGTGCTGTGCTCTAGAAAACCAGTTCAGGGCTCAGTCACTTACTGCTGAACCTCATCTGTCTACCAGAGGAGATGGGGATGAGAAATCCAGGAGGTTGTGTTACCTTTTTGTCTTAACTATTTTGAGCGAGTGATTGATTTATATAGCACTTAATGCCAAAGTAGGCCTCTAAGTGGTTTATCAAGTTACACAAAAATTAACTTGTACCCACACTTGTTACCCGTAGAAGGAATTGCTATTGGATGATGTGCCATTTGTGAGCTGTAGTTAATTCTCTCTCTGGCACGATTTAGGCTGCAATTTTATGTGGGTTTTTTGCACTTGATAATTTTGGTTACCAGAAAGCATTGTAATGTCTCCTGTATATGATATATCAACAGCTTCAGCACATTGTGAGCGACGAACTCTGTGTACAGGTGACAGAACTGTACCTGGCTGAGAACAGCAATGGAGCTACCGGAGGCCTGCTGTCATCACAGTCATCTCGGTCCCTTGTAGAGACAGCATACCAGCGCAAAGCTGAGCAGCTAATGCAAGATGAGAACTGCTTTAAGGTAAAAAAAAAAAAAAGTCTTGGAGTCTTCACAAAGCTAGGAAGAGAGATCCTGATGTACTTAGAGTGGGGGTAACGGAATGGGGACGATCTTCTTTGTCACTAGCAAAACATCCAAGGATGTGCACGTTTCCAAATTGCATTATGCTTACTGAGCAATTCACCAGGTATTTCACCTGGCTTCTGCCATCGCCCCTTGCAACCACAATTGGCATAACCACCTACCAGTTCCAGTGCCATAGAGACAAATCGCAAAAGGTGCTATAGGCTTGTATGCAGCAGTGGTTGCTTAATGATGCTCTTGGCCACATGCAGGTAAGCTGTTGTGCTCCGTCAAACAAGCACCTAACTAGTGAAATATATGTAGTTGTTTTTCTAATGATTTATAGTACATTTGACGCAAGCTGGCAGAAGCAGTATTTAGTCAGATCCCAATTAGCTGCTCTTTCTGTTTTGAACAAGCATAGAAAGAAGGTGGCTGCCTCACCTGTGTGCGGGCAGAGGCTTCCATTTCCCTGAATTGCTATTCTTAGCATTTTCATTTTGGTTTCTTGGGTGTCAGTAGAGTGCCTTTCGCTTCTCCCCCACCTTCATCACTTTCCCAAATGCTACACTAGACAGACTTAAGCATGGCTTAACTATAGTCCTGATCCCTTACACTTTTCTTTCTATTAAGTAAATGTTGTCCCCCACCCCACCTCCCTTACAGATACACCACCAAAGTCCCAGTTTTTTCCACCAGCTCTTCACAATTATTTTTCTCCTCTACAACTCTCTAGTTCCCTTGCGCATGGACATTCTTTAGTTGCACTCACACTACCCAGAGCTTCATTTGCACCTGAGATCAAAATGCTGTTAAATATAATGTTTCCTTCCACTGAAGTTCGCTCTGTGTTCCCATTGCTTCTCTGCAGCAATTTCCATTCCTTTTTTAAAAATTTGTCCCTACAGGCTGGAGCAAGTTGATATAAAGCTTTTGGTTTCTCTTTTCCCCCCTCAAACCCAAAATTGTGGGTTTGGGGAAGAGTAGCAGGTGATGGACTCAGCTCCATCATTTGTAGCTGAAGTGCTTCCTGCTGTAGTCAGCAAGTCTGGGAAACAAGCAGAAACTGAAGAAAGACAGCTGGGGTAGTGAGAAGCAGAAAAGTGTAGCCACAGAACTAATTTAAAAATGCAATGCCCAGCCCCCCTGCTCAGTGAATCGAAGGACTTGCAGGATTAGTGACTCAGCAGTCCAGCCTGGTCTTGCGGCATGGCTTAGCAGCCGGGAGGGCAATTCCCTCACTTTCACCTTAAGGGCAAAATAATGCAGTTTCTTGATGGAGGCTGCTAGCCTAAAGAAACTCATGGTTGCTATGGTGATAGTGGCTGACTCATCTGTAGACTTCCAGCAGAGAACTTTTCAAGTGAGCTCTCTGCTTATCTGAACCTTCTTCGATCTCTAACAAGGTGGCTTTACATTGCTGGGCCAAGTTCAGCCTGTATAGCATGTATATGGCTTTGGGTACCTAATAAAAACTCTGAGGATTATTGAGCTCCTTACTGAAGTACTGTCTTTTGTTGTGCAGTTGATGTTTGTTCAGAGCAGAGACCATGTTCAGCTAACTATTGAGCTGCTTGACACAGAAGAGGAGAACTCTGACGACCCTGTTGAGGCTGAGGTAAGAAAAGGACTGCTGTTGGTTGGTGGTTCTTAGTTTCAGCTATCAAAGGAACATATATGCATTTTTACTGAAGCGCTTCAGGTGCAGTAAAAATAGGTCCAGGTTCTATTATGTGGATTTTTTCAGATTTTAACATGTATAGTTTTTCTGTGTATAGTAATAAGCAGATGCTGCTGTTTATCTTCAGAATATGAGTAGTTTATATGTGTGCAAGTCAGTATATTCAGGCTTCATCTGATTAGGTGCATTCAGGTCAGAAACATTCGTGACTGCTAGATAACTGATTTTTTAAAAGCAAGCTGAAAACATTAGCCATAGTAGGTGCCTAATTCCAAACGTTGCATTTTGAAGCATTACATACAAACAACAAGACAAGGTGAACCTCAAACAATTTCCAATATTTAGTTGGAGTTGCCCAGTGCTTTTCTATGACGTCTTCATGCGGAACAATGACTGCATGCATTCTTAGGCTTGAAAGCAAACAAAAAGTCCTTCCAAAATATTTAGGTTCACACAACATAATTATTCAGTGCCAAGGCTACTCATAGAAGATACTGTTGTGCATTGCCAAAGATCACTGCCAAAGCCAGAAGGGTCTAATCTTATTTCTTTTTATAGCCCTTTGTCCCTCAAGTTTGGGGTGAGTAATGCAATATTTTTAGCAATACAAGTGAAAGAGCAATATATTGTCCTTAACATGAAATGGTTCAGGCTGCTTTCATTGTGACCAATGTAGGGAAAAGGAGTGTGAGTTCTTTCAAAAATGGAACTAAACTTCAAAAGTTTGATCCTGAAAGTTACAGATGCATTTGCACTAAAAAAATTCTATAAAATCTTGGCTTACCAAGATCAGTGAGTTGCCACTTATAAATGTTGTAACATTTGTGCCATTGAACAGTAACTTTAAGCAGATTATTCTATCCCTGCTTTAAAGTCCAAGTGGCACATACCTCTGCTGTTCTAAAACAAATAAGACAGGGTTTCCCCAGCCCTTTTTTTACAAATAATGAGTGTCGCATCAATAATAATAATAATAACAAAAACAACAACAACAACAACAACAACAACAATAATAATTTATTATTTCCCCAGCCATTCTGGGCGGCTGCCTTCAGATGTCTTTTAAAAGTAAGATAGTTGCTTATTTCCTTGACATCTGATGGGAGAGCATTCCACAGGGCGGGCGCCACAGGAGGCCCTCTGCCTGGTTCCCTGTAACCTCACTTCTCACGGGGAGGGAATCGCCAGAAGGCCCTCAGAGCTGGACCTCAGTGTCCAGGCTGAATGATGGGGGTGGAGACGCTCCTTCAGGTATACTGGACTGAGGCCATTTAGGGCTTTAAAGGGTCAGCACCAACACTTTGAACTGTGCTCAGAAATGTACTGGGAGCCAATGTAGGTCTTTCAGGACCGGTGTTATGTGGTCTCGGCAGCCACTCCCAGTCACCAGTCTAGCTGCCGCATTCTGGATTAGTTGTAGTTTCCAGGTCACCTTCGAAGTAGAGTGCATGGCAGTAGTCCAAGCGGGAGATAACTAGAGCATGCACCACTCTGGCGAGACAGTCTGCAGGCAGGTAGGGTCTCAGCCAGATGAAGCTGGTAGGCAGCTGCCCTGGACACAGAAGGGGAATGGAAGCTCCTCGGAAGTGGGGCTGCGTGCATGGTCCTTCATCCTTGGGTACCGGCGTAGGAAAGCTTCCTCTGTTAAAGGGAGCTCATTGGTGCATCTCTTTATTCTGTGTTCTATTTCAGCGTTGGACCGACTATGTGGATCGGTATGTCAATTCTGATTCTACCTCTCCTGAACTACGGGAACAGCTGGCCCAGAAGCCAGTATTTCTGCCAAGGTGAGTGAAATGATATTGCGCATTACTCTAAGAACTAATGGGTCATTTTGAGGCATGCATTTCCTCTGGAGATCATAGCCCCATTGCCTAGGGTCACTGTAGGAAACTGGCAGCTGGAAAGAACATGGTGGCAGTTGTGTGCTGCTGCTGCTGCTGCTGCTGCTAATAATAATAATAATAGTCTGAGAGTTCCTTGTAGGCCTCTGCTCTTGTGACTTTAGTTGCCCCCCCCCCCCAAAAAAAAACCCCAACAAAGCAGAAATAGGAAATGTTTCAGATCGGGGTGGTCACTAATATGTACTTGGACAACCCTGCTTCAGCTTCATGCAATTGCACTGTGTACAGACTTTGTAAACAGCTTTGAAGCTCTCCCATGGTTGTGGCTAAGTGCTGATCCACACATTAAAAACAGCCGTAGCTGTCTGTCTATGTCTCCCTCTCCTTGTGGTGGAAGGCCCTTCACCGAGTGCTTGGCGCAAGCAAAGAGGAAAGGAGTGGGTCACAAGGACTGGTTGATCTAATGCTTGCCTGTACTGAGGAGGAAAATCTAGCCAGCAAATGTCATCATGAGCTTTTGTGGCAATTCTTTGAATGAATGTGCCTTGGTAGCATATCAAAGATCACATTTTTGGTCAGGAAAAAAGGATGGTTATGTATAACAGGAGTTTCTCCTCCGCAGTGCAGGTCAAGCACCAATTTAGCCAGTGCCTGGGAATCACCCTTCCCCTCTCAGCTTGGGCTGAACTCTGCTGGGAGGGGATTTGCTCCTTTCCCCAGCAGTTTTTCAGCAAGTGGAGGAGGATGCAGGCAACCACGGCAACGTTAAATGTGTTAATCATCCCTTACGCTCTTATCGTCATTCAGCACGAGCAGTGTGATGGATTTTGAGGAGCAGGCCCCGCGAGCCACAACGTCCAGCCCGATGAGGGAGGCGGGTGCTAATTCCAGCAGGGGCTCTCTGCTTTACAGGAACTTGAGGCGGATCCGCAAGTGTCAGCGGGGTCGGGAGCAGCAGGAGAAGGACGGGAAGGAGGGTATCAGCAAGAAGCCCTTGGAGAACGTGGAGAGCTTGGACAAACTGGAGTGCAAATTCAAGCTCAACTCCTACAAGATGGTGTACGTGATCAAATCGGAGGATTACATGTACAGGAGGACTGCTCTGTTGCGTGCCCATCAGGTAGGCCTGAGCAAAGCGGGTGGGGTGAGCAGCTGTGGCTTCTCCTCAAGGGAAAGCTGCAGGCAGCCAGGATGCAGTGGTGTTTTGGTTCATTCCCCCTGCAGCCCTCTGCTTGCATCACTGTTCATCAAAGCAACCGTGCTTATGACCAGAGGTGTCAGGGTCTGGTCCGTATCTTACTGGGAGATCAACTGGGAACTCACTGTATTCTGCATACACTGGCTTGCCTTGTTGCCAGTAAAGGGGGATCACTTCAGTGGTACACTTAGTATGTGTAATGGGAGCCACTTTTTCTGGCAGAAAACCTGTGTCCATTAGACTATATGCAGATTGTGACATGGAGGGAAAAGAGGGTTGTACATGTGCTAAGCAGGCATGCATGTCTGACCAAGGCCTCACTGCATAATGCCAGTCACTAAAGCTTTCTCTTGTTTTCTCCCTTCCTTGTAGTCCCATGAAAGGGTGAGCAAAAGGCTGCACCAGCGATTCCAGGCCTGGGTTGACAGGTGGACCAAGGAGCACGTGACCCGTGAAATGGCAGCTGAAACTAGCAAGTGGCTAATGGGGGAGGGCTTGGAAGGCTTGGTGCCTTGCACCACTAGCTGCGACACAGAGGACCTGCACTTCGTGAGCATTAACAAGTACCGCGTCAAATATGGCACAATATTCAAGACGCCCTAAACTCCTGGGGGATAGGAAAAGGTCGAGTTGTGGGTGCACATTTCGTGCAGGTTCATCAAGGAAAACAAGGAAGATGCCTTCCTCCCGCCTCCTCCCCAGCCCCTCGCTGTTATCTCTGTAACAACAGCCACTTCTGGACTAATTCATAGCTGGTACATCTTGTTGCCCCAGGGGGCCACTTTTGGAAATGTCCATCCTGAGAAACAGAAGCTGGAACTGCTGCCCAGAGGCTGAGATCACACGCATGCTCCATGCCATGAGGGGCGCTGAGGTGTCCAAGTCGCTGTAGAGAAGCCCATCTTTCCTGTACACACACCAGCAGCGTTCTCCCAGCCACATGGGCATCAGTGACAACTGGGGGCTTTGAATAGCCTGACAAGATGTGGTGCGTTTGAACACCCCCTCCCCAAGAAGAAAAAGGAAAAAAAGTCTTGCAGCCAGAGTATCTTGGTTGGGAATCTCCAAAATGCCCAGTCCCCAGCTTCAACAGGAGTAGGCAGCAGACTTTCTGGAACCTTCCATCGGCTCTCAGGGCTCAGCAGTCCAGATGGCGGAAACATTGGCTCTTGAGTTTGCTGCCCCCTTCTCTTTTCTCTCCAGTTCCTTCCTTGCTATCTGGGTGCCTGACTTAACACAAACCATTTAAGATCGGTCAGTCCTTTCCAGTGCCAGTGGAACGATCGTTTTGTTTGGGGTTTGTTTTTTGTTTTGTTTTTTTGAACCTGCTTGTTTACTAGTCTCTCTTAGTGCCATGCACCAGCTTTTCACACAAACACTTCCTCTCACCTACACAGTACCCCTATACAGACAACACAAGCTTTCACAATAGCAACAACCTATATTAAACTGGTTTCCCCCCTCTTTTTTTGTAAATAAATGTACATACTTGTCAAATTTTTTTTGTTTTTTATTAAAGAAAAAGTATGCTTGATGTGCTAGTATAACTATACTAGCTTCTTGTGTACCTTAGTACCAGGTGGCTTCAGGTTCAGGTTTTAGTACCTACAGATGAGAGTGACAGAGACATTTTTATTACACTTTCTACCAAAGGGAGTTATCATTGTAGTGCTTTGTGTGGAAACTTGTTCCTTTTTGTAAAAAATAAATAAATACAAAAATACAAAAATATTATTATTATTATTAATAATAATAATAATAATACATATTGGTTCTTACCAGAGAAAGATGTGTTCTTGCTGGTTCCCTCACTCTGTTCTGAGAGATGTATGGCTACCAATTGCGGGCAGGGAGGCATCCAACCCCTCAAAAAAAATTATTAATGGAAAGGGAAAAAAGGATATGCGTGTGAGAGAGAATGAGAATGTGTGTGTAGTGGGATTACATGACTCGTATTTTAAGCAGCCTATGTGATATATGAATGATAATATATATCAGAATTTTTAAATTCTTTTTGTTTGTTTGTTTTGGGGAGATTGTTTTGCTGGGTAGTTTTTTTATTATCCACCTAGTCTTCCAGCTCAGAGAATTTGCACTTTTTGAAAGTGTTGCTGAGCTCCCTAGTTTGGGGTTGATTGTGCTTTCTTGTGTGATTCTTCTCATTGTTGAAGAAAATATCCTAAATACCAAACCAGTATTTGACAGAGCTGCTCAAGAGAGAGAGAAGAGAGAGTGTGTGTGTGTGTGTGTGTGTGTGTGTGAGAGAGAGAGAGAGAGAGAGAGAGAGCACACATGCAAGACCATAGGAAAAAAGAGGGGTGGCCTTTTGTGGTTTCACCAGTAACATACACAAGCAGGGACATTTTTTTTTACTATTGATGGCACGAACAAAAACTGAAGATATGAAGGTCTCTCTTTAAAAAAAGTTGCTGTGGGTTTTGTAAATGGCAATGAACCTAACATTTGTGCCCTCCTCCAAGGAGGCGTTGGTTGCTTGTACAAAGTGACAAAACCAAGAGACCTTTAAAAATATGGCTTGCTGGTATTTGTCTTCTCCCCAAATCTGCCAAACTTACATCTCTCCAGGTATCCCAGCAAGTAGCTGTCCACACTCTCAGAACAGTGTTGTCACGGTCCAAGGCAAAGAAATTAGAGAGGAGAAAAAGAGGACCTGTGCAAGTATCTCTCTCTTCCCTGTAGCTTAAGAGAAGAGGGTAGAGGTGCAGGATGGGCCTCTGCAGTAAGAGGCAGGTTTGCACAGGGGAATGTGACCTGCAGCGGTAAAAGCAAGGAGTGGAGCCCAGCCGGGGAGTTCTTATGGTATGCCAGCAATAAGCTAACTTACCCATGTCTCCTTCCCTTGCCCTTTTAAAAGAGGGGGATGACAACACTACTGTGTCCTGTTCCATTTTGCTTGTGCTGCTCCCCTGCTCCTCACTCTCGACAGCCTCTCAGATGTACTTCTTCTGTGTATATTTAAACTATCAGTTTAGACCTTTTTACCAAGTTAGAAGATAAAACACTTTGCCCAAGTGTCATTTTGAACAAGACAGGTAGAGCAGGGTGGGATTTTTTTCTCACCCAGTGTTTTTGAGGGTAAGAAAAACCCCTGCAGCTGCAAAATAAAGGAGGCCACTGCCCTTCCTGTAGCAGGATTTCAGAATTCAGCATTTCTCTCTCCCCACCCCCTGACCCTCCCAACCCTGATGTCTGACATCTGAGCTCCAAGCTCCTAGTCCTGGCCTGTACAAATAGCAAAATACTTTCGTTCTTATTTTAAATTGCTTTTGTATTCTGTAATGTGAACCTTTTTGCCACCTATTCATGTGATTTCTATACAGATGTTGTAAACTTGACTGTAGTGCAGTATTTCCATTAAAATATCAGGGCTACTCGTGTACAGATTTGGTGGTCCTTCCTGATCAAACTTGGCCAAAAACATTGGTGAGGTCTTGATTGGGTGAACTTGAAAAGTGCTGTTTGGGCTCTTGACTTGCATGCATTTGCCTCTGGTGTGCAAAACTGCTCAAAGCGGGTTGGTTCTCTTCAATAGACAAGCGCAACAGTGAGCAAAAATGTTTTCGGTTGTTGGGATTGTAATTCCCTTTTGTCAGATATGGTACAAAGGTGCTGGTATACTTGATTCTGATTTGAAGAAGTTTGATAGGGGTCTGTCCCCTTTAGAATTGGAAGTATGGCCTCATCTAAGTACAGATTGGCAAATTGCAATTTTCAGTTTCAGTCTGTTTCTCATTTTTCCAATCTTAAGTTCTGTTTGTTCCATTTCTACATTTGTTTTGTAATTCTTTTTTTAGGAAGTTCACACACAAAATTGTGTGCATTTCTCCTGATGTATGGTTGACTGTACATGATTTTGCCTAATACATGCATTTTTGCAAGCAATTTTCCCATCTAAAATGCATTGTGTACATTATTTTCACTGACTTTCTCTTTGTACGCACTTTCCTCAAATGTACCCTTTTTGTACAAATTTTCTTTTTGGTTGGAGGAACTGCATTGCAAAATTGGAAGAAGTGCAGATTTCAAATATTAACTGTGTTTTGGTTTGCGTATTGAATCAGGAAGTGCAACCGAAACAGGTTCCTGAAGAATTTCTCCTCAGTCCCTCCATTCAGATCCCTTCCCACCCTTTTGAGCCTTTAGCTTGGACACTTGGCTTTCGCGTCCTTAAAAGACAACTAAATGAAGATCTGTGTAGATGTGCTACGTGCTGTGCTGGAAGGTAGAATCTCGTTACTGGAGGTACAAAGTAGCCTGTGGAAGATTCTCACTCCAGTGCAGCACTCTTAGTCTGTTTTCTCTAACGTGGAGGTCCCATAGCTGCAAATATTAAAAGTAGTTGTCTAGTCTAGATTAAAATTTGGAATAGGGAGGTGCTGTCATGGGGCAGTTCAACTCATAAGATCTCTCTTCCCCACCCCCTCCCTTGGTACTAGACCAAGATTTTCTGGTTCATCGTCTTCAGTAGCAGCCAGGCAGATTTGTCTGGGAAGTTTTCTGGCACAGCACAAACAAGTCTGCGGTCTCTTGCGTCCGAAGTGTCCGCTCCTAGATGGAAAGGTTTAATATTCAGCAAGCAGCACATAATAGCCATTTACTCTCCCTGTTGCACCTCATCACTAAGCTGGTCACCATCTTGACTCCATATTCGGCAAGGATGGAAATGACTGGGCTGGGATATGCTCATTATTGCAGATTTTCAGACTGTCAGCAGAGGGCTCCCAACAGCTGGAAAGGAGGGAGCAAGAGGGATTGTGCTCAGTTGTAAGTTTCCAATTTGTTTTAAGCCAGACTCTGTCTATAGATGCTGCTTCTCTTGCAGTGGGGAAATCATTTGTGCACAATCTAAAAAATGCAATATTTGATAATCAATATTTTGCTTTCCCTGTTTTTGTTGTTGCTCCCTCTCACACTTCATGTTATGGGTGTTTCTCACTTTACATACCTGGGTCATGACACCAACTGTGAGCCAAGACTGTGACATGGAGGAGGAAAGGCCGGATGGCTCAGCAAGAGCAAAGTTGCAAGTCACAGAGACGCTGAACTCTGGTCCCAAAGCCAAGTCTGAGATGAAGTCACTTAGTCAGGAGCCTCTTGAGACAGCTTTCCAAACTTATGACTCCCTTCAAATATGGAACCCCCTGAACAGGTTTCCCTGAGGAACCAGCACCCCCCCCCCCCATATACACCAAGGACCTCACATTCCTCAATGCCTGCTCTTCATCGCAGCCAGCATGGAAAGTGGGAGCTGACCTTTTGGAATGTCACCCCAGCTGATGCATGATGAGGGTCTGGCTGCTTAATGTGGGAGAAGAGATTGCTCCCTTCTTCCAAGGCAGCTTATTGCAGGGGTCAGCAAACTTACCGCGCCTCGGGCCGGTGTCTCCAGCGCCAATTGCGCGGAGGCTGTGTGTTAAAAAAGAGATGCCTTTTGTCAGCATGTTATTCAAGTCTGAGAGCTGCAACTCTAGCCAAACCTTGCCTGCTTTGCCTCAGCCAGCATCTTCCTGTGTCCCATTGTGCTTCGCAGTTGGGGTGTTACAGGCAGTGGTTTTCAGCAAGTATCCTAAGTCCTTAAACTCGTTAGGTGTTAGGCATTTTTAGGAGCTGTGCCCGATTACACAGCGCTTCATCAAACAATCCTCTTTCCAGCATGCTTGAAGATTAGCTGCTTGCTTCTAGCCCCTAATTATGCTGGCATCCTAACATTGGGCAAAAAAGAAAGGGGGGAAACCCTAATAATTGCTGTCTCTGAAGTATTCATAAATTAACATAGTCTGAATGAATTCAAACTTAATTTAACAGGCCAGTGCTCCTATTGTGAGTGTTTTAGTATGCAGCATTGTTTGGAATTAGTGGAGAAGCACTTCCCCTTGCATAAGGGATCAGGGTCAAAAGTAGATGAGGCAGCAATTTGCCCTAACAAGAGAAAATGTCAAACGGCTTAAGGAGCTGTGCAGCAATTTTCACACAGTGGGAAAGTGGCACAACTCCGTGCAGAGCACCTGCTTTGAATGCAGAAGGTCCCAGGTTTGGACCCCAGCATCCATCATGGGGGAGAACCCTGCTTGAAATCCTGGAGAGCTGCTGCCAGTCAGTGCAGACAGTACTGAACTAGATGGCCACAATGGTGTTTCCTGCTTGACAGGGGGTTGGACTCGTTGGCCCTAGTGGTCTCTTCCAACTCTATGATTCTATGATTCAATGGTCTGCGGAAGGCTGTGCCCTGTCCTCCTACATCAAAGTGAGTTTCTAAATCACCTCCCCAGACCTGCTGGATCAGAGCCTCTAATGTGCATTATAAACTGGATCTCAGTATGGTTTCAACTTTAAGCTGCTATTTATTACACCTTCTTTCAAGAGATGACAGATTAGCTGCTCTTGTTTGTTGTATTTTAAATGATGTTTAGCACATGTATAAAAGTAATAAAATACACTTAACAAAATGGGTTTGGGTGGGGTAACTACCCAAGGAAATCATTCCCTCTCCTTCATTTTGTTTCATGAGGCATAGGTTTTGGATGGCTTTGAAACTGATAACAGATTAAATGTATGTTTTGTATCCATGGAGAGGTGCAAAGGTTTCAGTGGATGGGAACAAGTATGTTATGATTCTAGATATTCACATCATTTCTCATTTGCATAGTCATTTTCACATTGCTGTTAAATCGACCAAATGCTCTGCCATGGTACCACTAATGAGATTCCCAGAGAAAAGACTGTGTGAGAGAGACAGTGATGCTTGGATGCTTCTTGACATGACACATAGGATGCTGCTTCTTCATGGGATAGATTTCTACATGCAGGGATTTGTTTAATTTTCATATGGCAGGGCTGTCTGTTGTGTCAAGCCCCCAGCTGCTGACTAAAGTTTACCTCCTCAGGATTGCGTCTTAGTTATTTTCAAGAACTAAGCTGTGGAGATTAAGCACAATTGAGCAGTTGGTAATCCATGGAAAAAGCTAGTGGATCTATCAGAAAAAAGCTTGTGTGCTGCTGCTCCCTGGCAAGTACAGTGACTGCATGAGCAGTGTGCTTTGTCCTTAAATGCTCTCAAACTCTAAATGCTGAGCTGTAATCTTCTAGGCAACAGGGATGAAAAATATTATCTTGTCTGTAGGGACCACAGGTTTCCAGCACTGCCTTTTGACAACAAATTCCTTAAGTTAATTGTGGACTGTGCAAAGAAAGACTTCCTCGGTGATGGGAAGCAGGCGTGGCTGGATTCCCAACTCCCATCTGCCCCAGTTGCAGGCCCAAGGTGAGCGTTGGTGGGCTGCAGGTTCCCAACCCTGTTTCCATCCAAGGCACAATTAGCTCAGCATTAGATGGGGCAATGGCTGCTGTCAGAGATGCCTCTGAAATGGGGAAGTAGGCCACTTCAGGGTAGGTCTGTCAATGATGTTGGCTGTGATAGCTCCCTGGACGTAAGAGGCTCAAGTCAGTGATGAGAGATGTTGCCTTCCTTGCTTGTGGGTTTCCAGGAGGAATCTGACTGGACACTCTTTGGGTCAAGGATGCTGGACCAGAGGGACATTCAATCTGACCCAGCTGGGCTATGATAAGCTACTCTGGTCTCTCGTTTGGGGTAGAGCATGCCTGAAGTGTTGCAGAGCCAAAGAGTTTGGAGGAGCCCAAGGTAAACCTAGGGATGGGAAGCCTGTGGCCATCCAGATGTTGCTGCACTACAGCTCCCATCATCCCTGAGCCCTGGCCCTGCTGGCTGGGGTTGATGGGAGTTGTAGTCCCCACTGGAAGGACGTGTGGATCCAGAATTGGCCTCCACAGTCATGGACTCATTGTTAAAACCGTGTTTATGGAAGGCAATCTTACTCAGCTACGAGTAATCGCCTAAGAAGAAGAGTCCAGCAGCATCTGGAGGTTTCCACATTGGCACCCTTTGCTCTAAGGTGCCACCAGCCTCTCTATTGATAAAGCCCTGCAGAGTTCACTCTGGAAGTTTTCATTGCTGGGGGGAACTGAAAGCCTTCGGACAAGAGACAGACCTTGGCTCAGTGGCAGAGCATCTGCTTGGCATGCAGAAGGCCCCACGTTCAATTCCCAGCATCTCCAGGCAGGGCTGGGGAAAAGCCCAGCCTGAAACTCTGGCGAGCAGCTGGCAGTCGGAGTAGGCAATGCTGATCCTAGGGAGACCATTGGCCTGACTCAGTCTAAGAGCTTCCTAGGACTGATCAGTTCATTTTCTTGCTCAGAAACCCTGCAGGTTTGAGGGGTCTCCAGCTCAAGGAGAGGCCTGAGCCTTTGGGCCACCCTCATCCACAATAGCCACGACATCCCGTTGGCTAGCTGGAATGCGGTGCTCCTTGTGCTGAGGGAAAAGAAGAAGAGGGGAACCCTTTCAAAGCATTGGGCATTATGTTCAATAAATTTAATTACTGCTCAAATCATACAAATTTGTAAACTACAAAACACAAAGTAAAAGAATGGAAAAGAGATGAGGAGCACACAGAGAGACACAATTCTAATGGGACTAGGGTTTGTAATCAGAGTGAAAAGCCCAAGGCATGGGCTGGTCGACTGGGATTCAAGATGACATGTATGGTCACGTACGAGGCTGCTCTGTAGGCCACACACAGAGATGTTTACTGCACAGGATTTCTCTCACACAACATCTGCTTGTTAATCCATCTCTTCATCCCCCACCCGCTCGATGGTGGCTGGTACTTTTCACTCTCTTACGTAAATTCTTGTGCATACGACATCATCCGCACCAAAAGTCTGGAGGGGAACAGAAAAAGAGACACTTCCAAGCAAATCAGACAGCAGAAAGGGTGCAAGACTCCCTCTGTTGCCAGGAAGTGGCAGGGTGTTGCTCTCTTGCTTTGGGTAGTGACATGGATTGGGCCCAGAGGGACTGGGGCACAAGGATAGGCAAGAGCAATGAGGAAAAGGGGGGTCTGCTCAGAAAGGGCAAGGAATGATAGCATCATCATTGTCTGCTCCCCATTAGAAAAACACAAGCACTTTTCACCAAATGCTAGGTAAAGGTAAGTCTAGTTGCGAACGACTCTGGGGTTGCAGCACTCATTCGAACCGCCGATCTTCTGATCAGCAAGCCCAAGAGGCTCAGTGGTTTAGACCACAGCGCCACCCGCATCACTAAATGCTACACGCATGTTAATACTGAGCTAACCCATAGAATTAGGACTTCTTAGAGAGATCTGACTAACACCTGGGTTTAATGGGCAGTATTCAACTTAAGTTTTACTCAGAGTAGACCAATTGCAATTAATGAAGATGGCTAGGTAGCTGGCTCAGGGTGACTGAGTAAAATTTAGTTGAATGCCACCCAGAATTTTCAGGCATGGACCAGCTACTACTGTGTGTTTTTCTCAGTCATCTTGAGGGCAACTTGAAACCTCCTTCCTCCTCCCTTTATTTCTTTCTGTCTTTCATAGAAAAATAATGGTGTTGTACTCGATGGCCCTTGTGGTCTCTTCCAACTCTATGATTCTATGAAAACACAGCACTACAATAATATCAGTGAAAGCATCAACAGCATATTAGCAGACTTGTTAAAAACAAGTGCAAACCCCCAAGGCCTCTCTGAAGAGCACAGTTTTTAAAAGGAAGCAGGGAAGATTCCCACTTGGCAAGGAGTTCCACAGGGTAGGACCTGCCACATGAAAGACTCGGCCCCTGACAAGGGCCCACTGAAGTCAGGTGCCTGGAAAACGATCATCGGAAGTTCTTAAGATTGGCTAGATGCCAGCACACTCCATGGCTGCTACAGTTCTCAGGGACCCCGAAGCCAACACCCTATTTTGTAATGTTTTGAGTGACCTAATAAAGGTATTGCATTGATGTAGATCTGGGATAACGTGTTGCCTGAATATGGATTTTTCAATTTGCCAGCATGGCTACTTCTGCTTTTTATATCATCCTTAAGATTGTTGTGGGTGGGTGGGTGTGGAAATGTTCAAGGGATTAGGGTTGGGCTCAGCTGAGACAAAGTCTGAAAAGTCACAGCCACTGGAGATCAAAGCTTCTAAACTGTGTGTTGAACCTTCTCACCAGCCGCGTTCAATTTCACAATTCTGCAATGCCATTTATAAAAATGTTCACTCAGTCATCCGTGCCCCACAGCTCATTGGCTTTAATCAGCTGAGGCATGGTTTTTTTCCCCTCAGGGAGAGAGAGAGGAGGGGGCTTATGAATCTTTCTTTCAAACTGCTCAAAAGCCTCTGGATTTGGATGATAATTGATTTGGAGATACGTTTCTTCCCCCTTGGTGTGATCTGTGAACTATGCAAAATTTGTCTTCAGGCTGCTTTCATCAGGAAAGTAAAGGATGAGAAGAGGTTCCTCAGTGAAAATGATGGTTCTACCAAAATTTTTCTTTTTGTTTCAGACTATAGCCATCTGTATTTCAACTGAGAATTTTTTTAAAAGGCAAAAGATGATAGTAAACTTTGTACACCAGGGTAAAAGACCAGATTACAATTAGCTGTGATCTATCTGCAGTCTGGGGTGGGCGTAGGGAGCTTGCTCTACCTCATTTATAAAAATGTCATATTCAAAATGCAATTGGAATAATACACAACACAAATGAGAAACTATGGCAGCAAATGGAGTTTGATAGAAATATATAGAGTACTGAGTCTACCGTGTTTAATACATAATAAAAACGTTTTTGATTCTCTAATAAATCCATGCACAAAGTCAGCTCTGAATGCAAGAAGATGTGGGCACCTTCATTAACTCCCTCAGTCTCTCCATTGATACCTTTTGTACTGCACCCAATTTTGATACAACAGGAAAAGACTGTTATTCAGAAATGGAGAGAGAAAGACCTTTATTGACTAATTTATTTATTTGAAAATGCTTCAGCTAACAAACAACGAGAAAAATGGGAACAGCTTTATGGTCAATGAATAAAGTATTTCATATCAAACCAAAATTAAAGCGCATGCCACAAGACCTTTAACATCCTTTGAATTTTTTTATTTTATATATGTATGTATGTATGTATGTATGTATGTATACTCTATCAAATAATTAATGAGTTAGCAATTGGAGGATGCAACTCCGTGAAACAACAAAGGGAATCTGATCCAGGGATAGAGATTGCAGAGGTAGATTGGTATAATTTGTGGGCTAAATCAGTTTCAACTTGGATACATTTAAATTACTACACCATTACTGTGTAGTTATATTAATAAAACTACCCCACCATTGTACTGGAGAGGCTGCAATAGTATAGGTACCACACTTCACATGTGGTGGATGTGTGAACACAGAAAGCCCTCCTGGCAGAGGGGATTTACAGAAATAAGCTGTAACATGTGGAATGTACTTCAAGTTTGGGATTGTTAACTATTTTTTAAAGGGCAATCTGAACTTTGTTATGAAGAACTAATTATTTTTCTTTTAATAGCGGCACGCCTACTAGAGGCACAGAATTGGAAAGGATTGAACCATCTCTGTATCTCTCATTATTGCTGTATTGGAAAAATTAACAAAGAGATTACATGCACTGAATAATACAAATTATGTAGACAATTGGCATTCTTTTATAAAACACCTTACTGATAACCCTGAAGAATAGCAACTACCAAAATCACAGTTTGGACTTTGGCAAAATTTAACTAAATCGATCCATTCTGAAGGGAGAAGTGGGGTTGGGAGTTGGGATTTTGTTTTTGTATCCCCCCCCCCGCCTCTTTTTTGCGGTTGTTATATATTGGAAATTAATAAAACTATTTTTTTTAAAAATGAACAAACTCTGCAAAATTTGGCTTCAGGCTGCTTTCATCAGGAAAGTAAAGTCTGTGTGTGTAGTGGGTGGGGAAGGAGAACTTATTTGTAATTTATCTAAGGAAACATTCAATATTCAAATACCTGGCAACCTGTGGTAGTTTCTTTCCTGTGAAAATGGGTCATAGTAGAGATTGGAGGGTGTGTGTGTGGGAGAATGTTCCAAAATCTGTGCCACTTGAGACCAATTTACCTACAAGGTGGCCTTGCCCCCACATTTGCCCACTCAGCTGCTTCAGTCAGTGGCATTAGCATTCCTGCAGCTGCCACATAATACCTGTTCCTGCGAATCTTTTATTGTGGCAGCGCCTACACATTGGAACTCCCTGCCTATTGATTTTAGGCAGGCACCTTCACTGTATTCTTTTTGGCGCTTGCCTGCTGATGCTTGTTTAGGTGCTTTGAAATGCTGGTGTCAATTTTAATGTTTTCATGTTAAAACTTTTTGTATGTTTTATTGTTGTAAATTGCTTTTGTTTTTAGTGTAGATTGTTTTAAGGGTGTTTTTCTTTTCAGTCAAGTGGCATATAACTTTTATGAAATAAATAAATAAAAATCCGCAAAAACTCCCTCTCCCAAAGGTTTTAGATTTCTATGGCTGACACAGAAGTTGCAAGAGCAGAGCTTCCAAGGACCTTGGAGGTTCATAGAATCATAGAATCATAGAATCATAGAGTTGGAAGAGACCACAAGGGCCATCGAGTCCAACCCCCTGCCAAGCAGGAAACACCATCAGAGCACTCCTGACATATGGTTGTCAAGCCTCTGCTTAAAGACCTCCAAAGAAGGAGACTCCACCACACTCCTTGGCAGCAAATTCCACTGTCGAACAGCTCTTACTGTCAGGAAGTTCTTCCTAATGTTTAGGTGGAATCTTCTTTCTTGTAGTTTGGATCCATTGCTCCGTGTCCGCTTCTCTGGAGCAGCAGAAAACAACCTTTCTCCCTCCTCTATGTGACATCCTTTTATGTATTTGAACATTGCTATCATATCACCCCTTAACCTCCTCTTCTCCAGGCTAAACATGCCCAGCTCCCTTAGCCGCTCCTCATAAGGCATCGTTTCCAGGCCTTTGACCATTTTGGTTGCCCTCCTCTGGACACGTTCCAGTTTGTCAGTGTCCTTCTTGAACGGTTCGCCTGAGTCCTTTTGCTCCTCCTCAACCACAGCATTTTTCTGATGCAGCACTTGTGGCAGTGTGTGTGTGTGTGTGTGTGTGTGTGTGTGTGTGTAGGCTGAGGTTCCTTTGGCTTTTACCAAAGACCAAACTTTGTCCTGTGAAACTCCCTGCCAGAAGTCATCCAGCAGGAGTCAGCCCTGCTTTTCATTTTGGACTCTTTTATCAACAACTGTGCAGACAATTTTTAATTATTATTTTTTTTGAAATCTAACTTTTTAACCAACCTCCCCCCCTTGCTGTATTTCTGATGTTTTTATGGCTGTTGTATTGTGTCTGAATGCTGTACTCTGCCTTGTTATATTTTTTATGAAAGTGAGGCTTGTAAATATTTTAAGTAAATAAATAAAGTGGAGGTTAGGACTGAAGATCTTGAGAGACATGATGGAGCCACTTCTAATGCAGAGGGTTCTGGGTCTGTTTTTTTTACAACAAAGGGTATTCTGTAGGTGAGGGGAGCGGGACTCCCGCCACTCCCTACTGGGCTGACCCTGGGTTTGGTGGGTCCCTTGGCAAAAGACTTTCATGTTAATTGCCCCCCCCCAAAAAAATGCAGTATTGCTCCAAGACATTATGATGCCCTTTCCATTTTGTTGGACTCCAGCTTCCATTACCCCTGACCATTAGTCATGCTGGCTGGGGCTGATGGGAACTGGGGTCCAGCAGCATCTGGAGGGTCACACATTTCCCATCAGTGCATGAACACAACAGGGGAAAGGGGGCTTCTCTAGGTACCAGGAAAGTCCACCCTTACCATCGAGACCCAACCTTGTAAAATTAAAATTTCTTACCAAAATCAGCTCCTCTCCAGCCAGTTCTCTCGTCCAGTATGTTTTGGGGCCTTCTCCCTCCAGAAGAGTTTGTTTGCAATAGATCTTGTTTTCAGTCTCCCAAGTGGCTAAACTCTGCAAGCAAAGAGTACCCCCCCACACACACACAATCCGCACATCGGGGGGGGGGGATTAGCTGCATTATTTCATGACAAGCCTAAAGAATCCAGATTAAACAGCATTGTCTTCTCAATCTTCATCTTGCCCCCATCAAAGTCTCAATGCTACCTTCCCTCACAGAAACTGGATGTCATCCATTTCGTAGTTGCTCATTTGTGATGCCAAAACAGTTCTGCGGGCTTCCATCTGCTCAGTCAGAGAGTGACAGAGGCGCCACTACCAGCTGAATGAAACAGATTTGGGGTGGGCTTTGGTTTGGTCTGATATGTTTGCAGGTGTGAAGGTCACCTGGCCAGGCCCACACCAGAGCAAGGGACCCACTGCCCATATCCCAGAGCTGTTCTTCCTCCTTGCTACGGTTCACCTGTGCTATGCATGCAGGTGAGAGTGAACAGAGCAAGGAAAAGGCTTCACTTGCCAGGACTTCCCTTCCCAAGCAGTGCAGCAGATTGGTCAAGAGGGCACTCCTGATCCATTTAACTATTTTTTCCTTTGGTAGTGCAATTGGTAGGTGCATGGGGCCAAACCGGATTGGACTCCTCTACCCACCCGCTTGCCAGGGTAGGGTCCTAATCAGCCTTCCAAAACTATTCACACACATATACACCCCAACCAAGGTGGAAATTGAGGAGGGGCAGAGCCCAGAAGAAGAGGCTTGGGGGTCAGCTAGGAAGCCCCCAAGTGCAGCAGCCTGGAGGTTGTCTTTCCCTGCCCTAAAGCCCACCAGTCACCTCACGCCACTCAAACCACTAGACAGCCAGCAATTCAAAGTGGTGGGTGCAGAGGGCTGGATAAACAGTCCCAAAAACCAGGCAAAATTTCTTTGTGTAAACAGCCGAAGCAGAGAAATGGTAGCAAATGGCCTCTTGTATGTAAGGATCCATGAGGAGCCATCCACTTTCCCTAACGGCTATTATTGTCACTATTTTGTACCTCTCAACTTGACTCCATGAAAGGCTAACACCAGAAGGAAAGGAATTTCTGATTAACAAACAAGAGACAACAATGGGAGGGGCGAGGCGGGGGGGGGCCTGGGGGTAGCAATGCCTTTGTCCTAATATTCATGGGACACTTTGCTGCTGAGGAAACGAGAACAAAATGCAGGGCGGTGTGATCCAGGCTCATCAATTCAAGGCTATAAAAGATAACAGGATGTTCTCCTCCCCCCCCCTTGCAACACAAAGGAGAAAGTGGGGCTGTGGGGACTTGCCTCCCCCAACAAAATATTTGAGGGGGCTGGGCCCCCTCAAAGCTGACGTTCATTGCCATTCAAGTGCTGTCTCATGACATCCATTATGTGGGGTGGACCTTACCTGGTCCCCACAATATTTTATTCAAGTTGGCACCCCTGAGTGACAAACAGATAAAACACATCCCGGCACATCAAAATGTAGCAGCCTGAGGATGTAATACTTTTCTAGAATAAGAAATGCTCTGGACTGGAGAGATCCCAATCAGCAATGCCTTTATGGTCCTTAATTGCCCCTGGAACAGGATGATCTCTCAGAAATCTGTCCCAACTCTCTAAAGGACTCATCTTATGTGGCTGATGGCAAGAGCAAGGAACCCCTGGATTAGGGTTGGAAGGGACCCCAAGGGTCATATAGTCCTCCCCCCATGATGATGTTGATTGATTTGGGCAGCATAGTGTTGGACTGCATGCCAACTCTTGTTGGCATCGGTCTGTCTCAAGAGGCAAAGGAGGGCATCTCCGAGGGTGAAGTCAAATCTCTGCCTTAGCAGCACTGAAGGTGGGGTGCAAGCCTGGGCAGGGTGTCTGGAGGTCCTGGACTGCCCAGATGACAAGACGCCTCTCAGCTTTGCATATATGTCATCTTTCCTCCCAGGTGGTGTGCCTGGTTCTCCCCCTCTTCATTTGACCCCCACAATAACCCTGTGAGGTAGGTTAGCAAAGAGGCAGTGAACAGTCTCTACTAGTCTGCTGGGAACACGATTAATGCATTAGGCCCAGAAAATCACGTCAGCACCCCACAACTCAGAGTAAGCCCTGATGGAAAGAGCCAGAGCTTGTTTTCCACCTCTGAAAGCCAGCTCAGAATTGCATCTCTGTTTATACATTAATACATGACATTTGAGTCATAAAATCATAGACCTTGGGGTACCTCCCAAAACTACAATTCTAAGGTGGGATTGTTGTTTGAGTGTCCTGCTGGGAGCTCAGCCTAACCTACATCACAGGGTTGTTGTGAGGGTAAAATGGGGAGTGGCAACAACCACGTATACCACCTTGAGGTCCTTGGAGGTAAGGTGGGATAAGAATGTGATAACGAATAAATGAATAGCAGAGTATCCTGCCTTCTGGGCAGTGGGCCCAACTCTGTGGAACTGCCTCCTGTTACAAATCAGGAAGGCATTGTCCCTGCTGAGTTCCAGATGTTCAGAGGAGGGCTGGCCCATCCTGTTTGGCCACCTGAGGCGAAAGGGGAATGTGCCCCCGTGCCCCCCTCACCCACACTTTTGTTGTCACCAGAACACACCCACCCTTGCCAGTCTGTTCTGCAAGGCACTGCCGCTTGCCTTCTCTGCCCCAGGGGAGGGGAGATGAGCAGCAACACCCCAGGGGTTGGGCTCCTCTGGTGCCTCCGCTGCCTGGCGGAGGAGCTTCACACCCACCTCATGGGTGGGCCAGCTCTGGTCAGGTGGAAATGGCTCGATTTCAGGTGGGTTTTGCCCTGTGACTATTGTTTCAGCATGTCTATTCTCTGAAGTTTTAACCTGTTTTAAATGGTGCGCTTTGCATGTTTTTTTTCTTACCTGCAAGCCGCTTTGAGTCCTAGGCTGCTGCTAAATCAACCATTGAATAATCATTTGTGTTTTTAATAGTGTTTTTGATTGTTGCACACTGCCCTGAAGTTTTATGAGATGGTGGTATAGGAATACTTTTATAGTGAAATAAATTGATAGAGTGGGGAAACAGAGTACAAAATCCTTAAATGAATAAGGCAGTAACACACAGCGGTTATTTATTACCCGACACTTCCTCCCGTCCACGGTTTCTTCCTCGAAGCTCTCGCCAACTTTGAAGTTGATCTCGGTGGTGCGGACGGTGGTGGAGGTCTTAATGTAGAACTGGTCCCCCTCCTGGCGGATCTCCACATGTGGTTTCGAGGCAGCAGCTACGGCTACTTTCCTGAGCATGGCGTTGACCCCTGGGCAAAAACCAAGGAGGAGGAACCATGATGCTGAACACAAAGTTAACTGCCGAAAGGACATAAGACGACCACGAAGAGCCTGCTGGGTCAGGAGGGCAACCCAGATGATCAAGGGTCTTGACACCAGGCCTTATGAGGAATGGTCGAGGGAGTTGGGTGTGTTTAGCTCAGAGGAGAGGAGACTGAGAAGTGACAGGATAGCCAGCCTCAAATATCTGAAGTCCTGTCACACAGAAGAAGGAGCAAGCTTGTTTTCTCCTGCTCTGGAGGGGAGGACCCAAACCAATGGATTCAAATGACAAGGAAGGAGATCCCAACTGAACATCAGATAGAACTTTCTGACAATAAAAGCTGTTTGACAATGGAATGGACTCCCTGGGAAAGTGGGGGGCTCTCCTTCCTTGGAGGTTTTCAAACAGGGGTTGGGGCATCTGCTAGGAATTCTTTAGTTATGATTCCTGCATTGAAGGGGGTTGGACTAGATGACCCTTGGCTGTTCCTTCCAACCCTACACAGAGGCCAGCCGGATGCCTCTCTGGGGGAAACCCACAAGAGTGCTCTCTCCTCCCCTGTGGTTTCCAGCAGCTGGCATCCAGAAGCACCGCTGCTTCCGACCCTGTCAGACCCCTGGTTCATCTTGCTCAGTACTGCATGCATTGACTGGCAGCAGCTCTCTGGGGTTCCAGGCAGGAAGTCTCTCGCCGCCCTCTCTGGTGATGCTGGGGACTGAGCCTGCAAGCTTCTGCCTGCCAGGTAGGTACTTTAAGGCTTAACTAGGGCCCTTCCCCAATGGCTTGCGAGCAGAGGCTGTGGACATGGGGGTTGGGGAAAGTGGGGATGGGGCAGACATGTAATTCAGTCCACCTGTTAAGGCCAACCGCCTTAATTCCCATTTCCCGAAACAATACAAGAACCACAACACAAGCAATCCTTGGGAATCTGCACTGTGGTTCTCTGGACTGGGGATTTGAACCTAAAGAGGTCGATCCCAGAGTCCAGTGTGTGTAAAAAAGGCATGTATTCAGGTATCTAATATACAAAAAGGCATTGTATTAAGGGAAATTGCTTTGAAAGAATAGCATAGAGTCATGAGTATACTAGGAGAAAGTCACAGTAAAAAAAGGATGAATTTTCAAGATGACTTTAAAAAACTAATAATGTGGAAATGTGAAGTTAAGAGTGGAAAAACCGAGAGAAACAAAAATTGTCAGATCCGCCCATTCGCAGGAGTAAGTCTCAACGTGTTCATGTAAATGTTGCAGGAACACAGGCTCAGCCTGTCCCCCCTTTCTAAAACGATCCCCAAAGAGAGAGGGGGAGAGAGAATCCCCCCGCGCTGATTCCCCCCCTGAGCCCCTCCCCGCGCTCATTTACTTGAGAGTAAGCCCCGGTGAGCACAGCGGCGATCCTTCTGAGTAAACTCGCCTCAACCCACCGCGTTCACCTTCTACCTGGGAGTAAAGCCCCACGGGGCGTGGCAGCTACTCTCCCCGACCGGGGAGCGAGATAGTCCGGATCCGATGCCGCGCTCCCGGACGCGGGGAGACCCGGAACCCGGCGGCCACGAGGGACTCCAGTCGCGTCCCGCTCTCCAATGCGCCGCTGACTCCCGTGTAAACGTGTGCACGAGGGTCCGCCTGGCCGGTGACCTGGGGGCGGTGTTTTGGGGGTGGGGGGAATGGGTGAGCCCCTCCGCCCCCTGGAGTCCCCCGGCCAAGCCTCTCCCGGCCCCCCGACCCCTTCAAGCGCTGCCGGAGCGCCGGGCGCAGCGGCCAAGGCTGCCCTTCCTTGCTCACCCAAGACTTTGAGGAGCTCGTCGAAATTCTCGCTGTTCTTCATCTTCCAAGTGCCGGAGAAGTTGGCCATCGCTGGGGAAGAAGCTGCCCCGGAGACCCGACGACGAAGGAGGGGAAGGGCAGGCGAGCGAGGCAGGCAGGCAGCGTCGGGCGCTTCTCTCTGTCTGTCCGTCGGTCTGTCTGAGTGTCTCCCTCTCTCTCTGCCTCCTTCTCTCTCTGCCTCTCTCCCTCTTCTGTGCAGGCACCTTGCGAGGTGGCCAAGTGTCTCTGCGCTTTCCCCGCCTCTCCGCTCTGCCCCCCCCGCTCCCCCCCCAGGGAGCCTCCCGTCCACCCATCCATCTGCCTCTTCTCTCCCCTCACCCCCCCCATCCATCACCCACCTACCCACCCGCAGCCTTCCTCCTCCGTTCCCAGAAGCACCCACCCCATCCATCATCCCTTGCCCCTCGCCATTCGGGCAGCCAGCCTGCGCGCGGGAGCTGCCGCCTGGGGGTTCCCCGAAAGGAGAGTCGCTCGCTCCTCTCCAGCACCCCCCCGCCAATCGTGGCTGCCTTTGCAGCTGGGAGACCGAGGCAGGGAGGTTCGGGAGCCGAGGGGAAGCCACTATCCAGGAGGGGCAGGAGAGGTGGGTGTCTGCCCTCCCCCTCCCCAAGGACTGGACCATGGATGCCGAGAGATGCCACGAACTTCGACGGCCTTTCCGCAGAGGAGAGGGCAAAAGGCCTGCTGGCCTGCTGGCTCTGGGCCGCCTTGGCTGTCGGAAGCCTTGGGCGGATTCATATTCAGCGGGCTTTTCAACGTGTTTGTGGGAGGCTTGTTGTTTTGTTGTTTTCGTTTTAACTATTCACTTGTGTTTTAACCTTGTATTTTATTCTGTGACGCGCCCTGAGATCTTGTGATGAAGGGCGGTATATAAATAAAATAAAAGTAAAGGCAGTGTATACTTCTGAAGATCAGGTGCTGTGAATGGCTGCTCCTTGGCCCGCTCTGATCCAGCAGGGCTCTTCCCATAGAAGGCTATAGGGGTGGATTGCCAAACCTACATTATCAGTTTATTGTTCTAGCCAAAGGCCATTACAAATACACAACGCCAGTACTAATAAAACAACCTCGTAACCTCCTGCACTGTTTTTGCTGTTGTTTTTGCAGCGTGTGCGGCACCAGAGTGACCTCCCCAGGCCACCAGACCCTCCCGCCAGCCTCACTGTCCAAAGGAAAGCAGAGCAAGATGTTGGGCACCCGCTTGGCTGCAGGAGTTGCTGGAAGGAAGCGTACAAGGCACCATCCAACCACTCCAGATTTCACAGGGTTTACTCCTTAGGCTTTTCTTCTCCTGAAGATCTCCTGCCAAGCAGCAGGTGCAGATTTTTCCTTGGGTTTACTCCCAAAGCCTTTCTCATGAATGGGTATAGCTGCAAGGCAGCAGAGGTTTAGGATCAAAGTTTTCCTTCTGCCCCTCTCTTCCCTCTACAGCATGGGCAGAAACCGCCTGCTTGACCATTGGGTCCACCAATGGTCTCCTTCCATCAATCCCCTGGAGCCTGTCTTCACACACAAAGGAAGCCCTTACATCACTGAAGGTCTGAGACCCATCAGCTCCCCTTACCTGGATTAGTCAGCCAGTCAATGCCGTTTCCCAGGGTGTGGCTGCTGACAGCTTTAGGAGCCACAGGTGAGCTAAGTGCAGGGTAGCAGCCAAAGGTGGACAAACTACCCCAAGAATGAGCGCAATGTCAGAGATACTGCCCGTCCCCTAACACACCAAAAAATATAGATCATGATATATCCATAATATGAGCCAACATCCAGGATGTAAGACAGAGGTTGCCAGAGACACCAACAAACTCAAATAAATGAAACCTCTGAACCACCACCACAATATATAGTGATTTTACCTAACTCCTTTTTCCTGTTTTTTGTTGTTGTTGTTTTTTCAGTCAGTGCTTAGAGGGCCATTCTCTGTGTTTTGAAGCTATTATTGTCACTCAAAAGAAAATGGACCATTTCTGCCAGGGTGTACCCGCTTGCTTGTGTGAACATAGGTTTCAGAAAGCAATCTCTTGGGTCAGGCTAACAGATGTTGAGTGATGTGTTCCACCTGAGGTTGACCACAAATGCAATGTCTGCCTGCATATGGAACCTTCTTGTAGAAACCATCCAAGACTGCAGTAGGCATGACTTGGAAGCACAACTCAATAAAGGCATTTCTTAAGGAAGCAGCTGAGAGTTTGGTCAGATAACTAGCTCCAAAATAGTCTCAATAATGGATAACATGGGGGGAAATTTGATGTTTCTGTTTAGTTACAGGTTCCATCTGGATTCTATCCAGAAGAGCCAATACCTTAGTTGACATTTATTCAAGAGCTAGGCAGAGTTCAGTTATGGAAAGCAGTTATGGAAAGCTCCTATGGTTTTCTGTGCTTTGACTTTCACTGCCTCTGTATAACACTTCCCAGAGAGGCATTCATTAAAGAGTACACCCAGTTATTTAAATGAGTGAATTTATTCTATAGGCTGCTGATCCATGTCTGCCAAAAATGAAGAACTTTGTCATAGAGCAATTTATAGATAGGCTTTCCTGTTTACAGTATTTGCTGGACACCTCCAAAAGATTTTTGAGGTCCAATTGGGAAAGAGAGAAGGGCAGTAAATCATCTGCACACATCAAGATTGAGATCTGTCTGTTCCTTATATGAGGTCCCAGAAAATACCAGAGCATTTTGCATGGACATTTCATCAACAAGTCAAGATTTACTGCCTCTTTGAGCCAAATAGTTGTAATGCAGCATGAGAGAAGAACAAAGATGGCTCTAATTGGTTTTCTAAACATTGCTAACAGATTTGGGTGGAGAGGGAAATGAATTTCACAAAGAGAGGGTTTGCTTGAGCATAATATGAAGCAGGCATCAAAGGCCTAGCATCTGATGATAGAATCATGATTCCATGACTAATGAATGTCCTTATTGACCATAATGAAAGAGCCCCCCCCCCAATGGCCTGGCAATGCTTATCCCTGTTCATGCAGAACGCAAAAGCCGTTGACTGTGAAATTACCATTAATTAAATAGGACATCCTCTGAAAGTCAGAATATATGCAGAGATGATGGTGGCAGCGGCTGGGATAGAGCAGAGCAACGCACAGGAAAAGGCAGTAATGAAGTCAGCAGGCAAGAAACATGTGCCAATCAGGCCTGGATCCATGACAGAGGGGAGACGTTAGTTGCTGACCCACAGCCAAATCTCCATGCTCTGTTCCACAGTGTTACAGGCCTCTCCTTTCTTTGGACCAATGGAGCAGCAACTGTCCAAACAACCTCCCAGTGCTAATGACTTCCAGAAGCTTGTTTTCTCTTAGGTTTTCTTCCCAGCTAGATTACTACAATGCACTTGTCAGGGGTTCAGGAGCAGAGGCAAGGGCAAGGGAGGAAACAGAGAGCGAGGGGGAGGAGGCAGAAGAAAAGATGAGTGATGACGACGACCCGAGATCTCCGAGTCTTTCCAGTGAATCAGAAGATTCACAGAAAGGAGCACCAGTGGCCAGGGCAAGGGGGAGCCTAGGGGACGCCCCAGGAAGATAGAGCCAGAGGGGACTCAGAGGGGAGCAGTTGGAAATCGGGACCAGCGTCACCGCCAGAGAGCAGGGAAGAGGAAGGGAGCCAGGGATCAAGCGCTGGCAGCTCACAACAGGGGGGAGGGCACGAGTCAGGAGTGGCCACACCTCCATCGGGGAGCGAAGAAACGGTCAGACGGAAGGTGGAAGGTTGGGCGCGCGCGCCAAGTTCAAATGCACAGGAAGGTGGCACAGTAGGCAGCCCGGAAAGGGAGCCAGGTCCTAAAGCCCGCCGAAAGGAGGGAGAAGAGTCAGGGGGGGGAACGTCAGCGTCAGAAGAATCCCGGAAAGAAGAGACCCCAGGGGCAGAGGGACCCAGAGAAGAACAGTCAGGCGGAAAAGGTGGAGCAGGGCTAGGATATTAAGTTGGTGTACAAGGGGCGGAGACTCAGACGGAGCTTCGCCGATCTAACCCCTAGACGTAGAGCTGGGCGCTGCGGCTTGAAAATGGAAACTGTACTTCAATAAAGACTTTTGTACATTACTGCCGGCTAGCGTTGGTCCTCTGTGAGCTGGGACCTGGAGCCAGCTCTGACAGTAAGCTCCGTCTCCTAAAGTTTTGCACCAAAAACCTCGTAACGTGAGTGGACGCAGCGAGGGAAGAAGATTGGTGCTTCGCGAGCTCACAAAAGTCAGGCAAGATGACTACAGAACAGCAACTAGCAGCCCTGCAAAATGCAGTGACACAACTCAACGCGGAGGTACTCGCATCCAGGAAAAGGGAAGAGGAAGCGGCTGCCGCCTGCAGGGATCTCCAAGCCAGGTTGGAAGTGCTTGCTAAGCAGGGGCAACCGGGACCCAAATCAGAGGGGATTGGGCTGGGGAAAAGAGGAGGCAGCCTGGTATCTCATTTCGATGGGAATTTGCAGCAGTACCCTAACTTCCGAGCAGACGTGCTGTTTGCGCTGGAACTGCTGGATAAAGACTTTAGAGATGAGCAAGAGAAGGTGGGGTTTATCTTGTCCCATTTGCATGGGGAAGCTAAAGCGTGGCTGCGCAATCTGTGGAGAGATAAGGATCCGGCGCTCCAAAATGCGGATGCATTCATTAAAGCGATGGATTCGTGTTTTTATCAAATATAGACATTGATATCGCCAGAAAAGACATACATGGGCTCAAACAAGGCAGAGCCAGTGTAAGGCAGTACCATTCCCGCTTTTTGCATTAGTCCATGCGCTGGGATGGGAGAAGGATTCTGCCCCAGCCAGAGACCTTTTTGGGAAGGCTTGAATGCAAATGTGAAAGATGAGATTGCAAGGGGGGAGAGACCAAAGAGCACTCAGGAGGTTGTCCGGCGGGCGCTGCAAATTGGGGTGCGTCTGGAAGAACGTCCATGGAACAGAGAAGAAGGACGTTGGGGACGTACGCCAGTGAGAGCACCTCCCCTCTTTCCCAAGGATGCAGCGCGTGTGCAATCCCCACCTCCGCAAGGAGGGGAGAGCAACCGATGGAGATTGGAGGCGCCAGGGCTCAGTCAGCAACCAGAGCCCTAACACCGGGAGCAGTCAAAGCGAAGCCTCCTAGAGGGAACAGGAAGTGCTACATCTGCGACAGTGCTCAGCACATGGCGAAAGAGTGTCCCCAGAGGCTCCACAAGCACACTGCAGCCTCAGCAACAGTAACAGACGCAACTCAGCAGAGAGAACCACAGCAGGGAAACGACAGAGTCTGGTTGGAGGAAGAGGCACTGGGGCCCAGCCAGACAAGTCAATGAAGCCGTCCCCAGAGATTTTGCAGCCCACAGACCCCTCCCGCCCAAACCAGTGGTGCAGCTCACAGCATCGCTCCAACTACCCAATGGACTCACTATGGAAGTGCCGATTACCATTGACTCTGGTAGTAACGCAGACTTCATAGGACTGGATTTCATTCAAGAGCACAACATAGCACTCCTGCCAGCCACGCTGCCTCTGAAAGTTGTCACGGTGGATGGCAGGGAATTGCTGGGGGGGCAGGTGGTGCAGCAAACGCCTCCGATGGTAATGCAAATTGGGAATCACCGAGAAGTCATCAGCTTCAATGTCACCCAACTGTCGGACACGCCTATAGTATTAGGCATGAGTTGGCTGCACAGGCACAGCCCAGCATTGGCGTGGTACCAGCGACAACTGACCTTCGGCTCCTCATACTGTGCGGAACATTGCATTCTGCCTAGCCCGGAAGGGGAAGAGGATGACCCGCAGCTACAATTAGGCACGCTGCAAGCAGTGCCACTCAAGTACGCAGCGTTTTTGGAGGTTTTCTGCGAGAAGGAAGCGGACAAGCTACCTCCCCACAGGTCCTATGACTGCAAGATTGACCTCCTGCCAGGGGCGACGCTGCCAACCGGGAAACTGTATTCCATGTCTGAAGACGAGCTGCAGGAACTCAGGAGTTCATAGACCTCAACTTGAAGCGCGGTTTCATCCAGGAGTCGAAGGCAGTGGGGGCAGTCCTGTATTCTTTGTGAAGAAGAAGGACACGCCCCAAAAAGGCTTGTGGTGGACTATAGAATTTTGAACTCGAAAACCAAGCCCACAGCCTTTCCCATGCCCAAGATAGATGACCTGCTCGCAACGGTGAGGAAAGGACGCGTTTTCACAAAGTTGGATCTGCGAGGGGCGTACAACCTGATTCGCATACGGGAGGGCGACGAATGGAAGACTGCCATGTTCACGCCCCTGGGCACCTATGAATACAGAGTTATGCCCTTTGGATTACAAAATGGCTCCCACTGTTTTCAAGCCTTCATGCATCACGTATTGGCGGGTCTCCTCTACAAGAAATGCGTCTGCTTCCTGGACGACATCCTGATATTTTCAGAATCAGAGGAGACCCACGAGGGAGACGTCAAGGAAGTTCTGCAGAGACTGCAGGAGCACAGGCTGTACGCCAAGCTGGAGAAGTGCCAGTTCGACATGAAGGAGGTAGATTTCCTGGGCTACAAGTTGTCGGACAAGGGGCTCGCCATGGACAGCGCCAAGGTTCGCTCAGTGTTGGACTGGAAGAGCCCGCGCAATCGGAAGGAGGTCCAGCGGTTTGTCGGTTTCGCCAACTTTTACCGCAAGTTCATCAAGGGGTTCGCGATGCAGACGGCGGCCATTACCGACACGCTCAGCTCCAAGAAGAAGAAGTTCATCTGGACGGAGCAAGCGGAGCAGTCCTTTCAGAAACTCAAGCGTCTCTTCTCGTCCGAAGAGCAGCTACTGCATGTGAATCCCAGCAGACCGATGAGGGTTGAAACGGACGCCTCAGACAGAGCCGTGGGAGCAGTACTGTTGCAGCAAGACCCGCATGGGGACTGGAGACCGTGTGCCTTCTACTCCAGGAAGCTCAGCAAGTCAGAGCAGAACTACACCATCTGGGACAGGGAGTTGCTGGCCATTCATGCAGCATTCAAGGCGTGGCGGCACTTCCTCATTGGAGCCAAACACACAGTGCAGGTCCGCACGGACCATAAAAACCTGGAGTACTGGCGCACGGCAAGGTTCCTGAACCAGAGGCACATACGATGGGCGGAGTTCTTTGCGGATTTCGACTTCAGGATAGAGTACATCCCAGGCGACAACAACATCATGGCGGATGCACTGTCCAGAAAGCCGCAATACCTCGAGGAGGCGGCACCAGCAGCGGCCAAGCACATTTTCGCACCGAAAGCGTGGGCGTGCGCTTCAGCAACCGTGGACCTGGATGCTGTACGTCGAGCACTGCAGGAGGACCCCTTCGCGCAAGCAAAGATGGCAGAGGTGCAAAGGGGCACGGCGGAGGACGACGAGTTCCAGATACGCGACGGATTGCTCATCCGCAGAGGGGCCCTCTACGTACCGGGAGACGACCTCCGCGCGAAAGTACTGCAGCAGTTGCACGACGCACCCACCGCCGGGCACTTTGGCAAAGAGAAGACGGTAGAATTAGTAGCCAGAGATTTTTGGTGGCCCAAGATGCGGGGGAAGTCGCGGATTACGTCTCGAGGTGCGACACCTGCCAAAGGGCCAAGTCAGTGCACAAACCGCCGGCGGGACTGCTCGAACCGCTGCAGACACCGCTCGAACCGTGGGAGAGGGTGGCCCTGGACTTTGTCACGGATCTACCCAGCTCGAGGGGCAAGACGGCAGTGCTAGTGGTGGTGGACATGTTCACCAAAATGGCCCACTTCATTCCGTGCGCGAAGGTGGCCACGGCGGAACAGACCGCCAAACTGTTCATAGACCACGTGTTCAGGGTTCACGGTCTGCCACGGTCTATCCTGTCCGACCGGGGCGACAGTTCATCTCGAACTTCTGGCAGAAGCTGATGGGTTTCCTGAACGTCAAGATCAACCTAGCGTCGGCGAGACACCCGCAGACGAACGGACAAGCGGAGCGAGTCAACGCCATCATGCAGCAGTACCTGCGATGCTACGCAAATCAGCAGCCGGCAACATGGGTGGACTACCTGCCGCTCGCTGAGTTCGCCTACAACAACACGAAGCACGTGTCCACGGGGGTGACACCGTTCTTCGCCAACAACGGGAGGCACCCCAGAACCTTCCCGGGACTGGAAAGAATGGGGGAGGGGGAGCCGCAGACAGCAGATGCATTCGCGTCGGAGTTGCAGGAGGTCCACGATCAGCTGCGGCGGCACCTGGAGCTGGCTAAACACGCATACAAGGTACAAGCGGACAAACACAGAAGGGTTGGCGAAGAGATCCATGTGGGAGACTGGGTCTGGTTAGCAGCCCACGCAGTGCCGGCCAGGTCGTTGGCGAAGAAGAAACTAGGGCATAAACAACTGGGGCCCTACCAAGTCGAAGAACAGGTCAACCCGGTGGCTTTCAGGCTGGCTCTTCCGGAGGGTTCCAGAATGCATCCGGTGTTCCACAGATCGGTGCTCACTCCATACAAGGCACCTCACAGGTTTCAGGAACCAGGAACGGCACCGGGTCCGCTCCGAGAGAGAACCGGGCAAGGGGGAGTGGCACGGGAGGAGCGCATCAACGAAGCCACGGAGATTTTGGACTCCAGATGGGGGGAAGAGGGGGTAGAATACCTTCTCGCCAAGGAGGGCACCCCGGCCAGTGCCAACAGCTGGGTGCCGGGCTACGCTTTCGACGAACCTCTGCTCAAAGAAGAGTTTCATGCCCTCTTCCCACATAGGCCAATGCCAGCAGACTTTTTCGACGACTGGCTTTTCACGCCCACGCTTTCAGCCAGCACGTCCGGGGGTTCGACTCGGACGAGGAACCGACACGAGACGCCCGTTCCCCGGAGGGGTCACCCTCGGGATCTGCTTCAGAACCCTCGTATTGGTGGGATGATCGACCAGAGGAGCAGTTCCGCAGAAGGTGGCTGGAGGGTCCAGGACGAGCAACGTCTCCAGAAGGTAACGAGGGAGAGACGGACATGGACGTTTCGGGACGACCCGGGTTTCGAGCACGGCGGCACAGAGATGGAAGCGGAGGTGACCGTCGTCAACGAGAGCAGGGAGGAAGAACCGGAAGACTTCAGATGGCGGCCCGCCACGGGGAGCGAACTGTATCCGACATTCGTCCCCCTGACACGGCAGCACCCAGATCCCGCACCGGAAGGAGGGGAGGGGGGAGAGGGGGCTTCGAGGGGGGGATGGATGTCAGGGGTTCAGGAGCAGAGGCAAGGGCAAGGGAGGAAACAGAGAGCGAGGGGGGAGGAGGCAGAAGAAAAGATGAGTGATGACGACGACCCGAGATCTCCGAGTCTTTCCAGTGAATCAGAAGATTCACAGAAAGGAGCACCAGTGGCCAGGGCAAGGGGGAGCCTAGGGGACGCCCCAGGAAGATAGAGCCAGAGGGGACTCAGAGGGGAGCAGTTGGAAATCGGGACCAGCGTCACCGCCAGAGAGCAGGGAAGAGGAAGGGAGCCAGGGATCAAGCGCTGGCAGCTCACAACAGGGGGGAGGGCACGAGTCAGGAGTGGCCACACCTCCATCGGGGAGCGAAGAAACGGTCAGACGGAAGGTGGAAGGTTGGGCGCGCGCGCCAAGTTCAAATGCACAGGAAGGTGGCACAGTAGGCAGCCCGGAAAGGGAGCCAGGTCCTAAAGCCCGCCGAAAGGAGGGAGAAGAGTCAGGGGGGGGAACGTCAGCGTCAGAAGAATCCCGGAAAGAAGAGACCCCAGGGGGCAGAGGGACCCAGAGAAGAACAGTCAGGCGGAAAAGGTGGAGCAGGGCTAGGATATTAAGTTGGTGTACAAGGGGCGGAGACTCAGACGGAGCTTCGCCGATCTAACCCCTAGACGTAGAGCTGTGGCGCTGCGGCTTGAAAATGGAAACTGTACTTCAATAAAGACTTTTGTACATTACTGCCGGCTAGCGTTGGTCCTCTGTGAGCTGGGACCTGGAGCCAGCTCTGACAGCACTCTTCCTGGGGCTGCCCCTGAAGAGCATTTTTTATAACATACTTAGATTTTCCTTATTGTAAACCTCTTCAAGATCTGTGGGTAGTAAGTATGAAAAGAAAGAAAGAAAGAAAGAAAGAAAGAAAGAAAGAAAGAAAGAAAGAAAGAAACTTTAGCCATAGCAGTTGATACCATTGTGCTGTCAATCAAGGATGGAACTGCTCCTCCCCCTTGGAAGTTTTGGCACAGAGAGCTGCTTTCTCCCTGCACCAACACTAGAAATGAGTAAAGCTGTCAATTTTGCGTTCTCTCTGTTTCTCATGTTTGAAATCTTAAGTTTGGTTCACATTTCCACATGAGCTTTTTTAAGTTCACTTGAAAATTCATCATCATTTTAGTGCAAATTTCTCCTGATTGCAGGTTTTTGTATGCAGTTCTGCCTACTATATGTATTTTTGCAAAGCATATTTACCTAACAGTTAGTAAAGGTAAAGGTACCCCTGCCCGTACGGGCCAGTCGTGTCCGACTCTAGGGTTGCGTGCTCATCTCGCTCAAGAGGCCGGTGGCCAGCACCGTCCGAAGACACTTCCGGGTCACGTGGCCAGCGTGACGAAGCTGCAGCTGGCGAGCCAGCACCAGCGCAGTACACGGAAACGCTGTTTACCTTCCCGCTATAAAGCGGTACCTATTTATCTACTTGCACTTAAGAGTGCTTTCGAACTGCTAGGTAGGCAGGAGCAGGGACCGAACGACGGGAGCTCACCCCGTTCCGGGGATTCGAACCACCGACCATACGATCGGCAAGTCCTAGACACTGAGGTTTTACCCACAGCGCCACCCACGTCCCTAACAGTTATAACAGTACCTAACAGTTATATGTCCCCTAATATAATGATTGTATCTCTATTATTTTCACTAAAAGGGCCCACTTTTACCCCTAGTATATGCATTTTTATACTCATTACTTGGCTGGAGAAAGGCATTGCAAAAGTGCAGATTTTGCAGGATTTTGTTTGGGAAGGTGCAAATTAGGTTGATTTGCTTTTATATGTGAACTGGATCAAGTTCCTTTCTAACCAATGCATTGAGCCATTCTTCAAGAGCGTGAGGACATTTATCTAATTTTTAGCTATATCTTTATCAAGATGCCCACTGTTGGATACTGGTCTCTCTGAGGGCCACCAAATGGCCTCCCTTCCACTTTCCCTAGGAACACTCTGCTTTCCACAAATTATCCCTTCCCTGCCATTCTTTATTCACCTGAATCCCCTCAGGCCATCCTTTTCCTCCACAGATGGATCTCATCCATCTTCCCAAAAGTGTCTCAAAGACAAAGGAAAGGAGCATATGTACAGATGGAGCCAGGGACACTCCATCATCCATCCAAATCAGCGGCCAATAATGGGACCCCAAGTATCCCCCTGTGTCTATTGACTGACCATCCCGGAACTGCCTAAGATGGCTGTGTGCCCATGTGTGTGCGTGCAGGAAGGGGAGGCAGGGTCAGAAGAAAACAGCATGTGTAAGTTATTAAGGTGCAAAGGCTGCCGGGGGTGGGGTTTCTGGAGGAGAATTTTAATAAATAGCCTGTGACACAAATAAATTATACATCTGGAAAGCAAATGGCTGTTGTAAATTTAGCTGCCAAATTAAATTGACGGTGGGTCTCCCTACGTGACAATGGGTGAAATGTAACCCGATGGGAGAGGAAGGAAGAGCATAGCCACACTCATGCTTCATATGGTCTATTAGACACTCATTAAAATGTCACCGCATCATTAGGTTTTGCATTTGGGGCATCAGGCAGAGCAGGGGGCCCTGCGCTCAAAGCACCAGAGAAAGCGTTAGCCGACCCCGCCCAGAATCTGCGAATCTTCTTATGTGTGATCTTGTAAAGGTGATAATAATAAATAAATAAATTGCAATGCTTCTGCATATATTTTATTCATCAGGAATGCTTTGTTCATCTGTTAAAAATGGCGCAACAGAAACTAAATTGGGGGAGAAGAAATCTCAGAACGAGGGACGCAGACCCTTCTTTTTCATTTGGCTCAGATGATGCCAAATATGGTAATGCCCCTGCCCCCACCTTCCCATCTCCTCTTCCCGTAAGAAAAGAAGTGACCCCAGTATTCCTAAAACAAATCCATGAGGAAATGGGACCATTCTGCTGCCTCCTTCAGGGCTGGGGGAACATAAAGGACACTGTCTATGTTTAAACGGAACTGACTACCCTTAATGCTGTGTCTTGAGACTTCCCAAAATTGACTGGAAGGTTGCAGGCAAGGAGGAGGGGAGGGGAGGAAGGAAGGTGACTTGTCTCTCTCTTTTCCAATGTGCAACATCCTACTCTGATCTTGCATATGGTTCACTGGTCACAAAACACATTCAGGGGACATCTGTGGAAAAGAACATCACCCAAATGCCCCAGTTTCCCCCTTTTGTTTGCAAAGCACATTTCCCCCATTCTTATTTTCTGTTTGTTTGTTTGTTTTATTTTCATTATTAACCCTCCCATTTAATGTCATAAATAACCACACAGAGAGAAAGAGAGAGAAAACAAAAAAGAACAAATTGCATCCTCTCGTTTCCAGATTCGCAACACAATCCTATGCATGTTTACTCAGGGGCTAAGTCCCACCGTGTTCATTGAGGCTTTCATCCAGGAACATGTACAGAGGACGGCAGCCTTGGAGTGGGATTCCATTTGCCTCTTTCCAGCAGTTCACCAGGCCAAAGCTTGACATGAGCCAACAGTGTGACGCGGCAGCTAAAAAAGCCAATGCAATTCTGGGCTGCATCAATAGGAGTATAGCATCTAGATCAAGAGAAAGTAATAGTGCCACTGTATTCTGCTCTGGTCAGACCTCACCTGGAGTACTGTGTCCAGTTCTGGGCACCACAGTTCAAGAAGGACACTGACAAACTGGAACGTGTCCAGAGGAGGGCAACCAAAATGGTCAAAGGCCTGGAAACGATGCCTTATGAGGAAGGGCTAAGGGAGCTGGGCATGTTTAGCCTGGAGAAGAGGAGGTTAAGGGGTGATATGATAGCCATGTTCAAATACAGTGGTGCCTCGCAAGACGAAATTAATTCGTTCCGCGAGTTTTTTCGTCTAGCGAATTTTTCGTCTTGCAAAGCACGAAATCCCATAGGAATGCATTGAAATTCAATTAATGCGTTCCTATGGTCAAAAAAAGTCCAAACAAAGCCAAATTTGGTACAACAAGAGTTTATTAAGTGCTCTTTAAAGTCACACATACTGTAAAGAGCATTTCAAAAACTGAAGGAACAATAAATTAAGTTTCTAAACATGACAGAAAAACATTTAAAAATCAACAAAGTGTACAGTACATTTTCTAAGACTCTGGGAGACAACTCGAAGAAGGTTCCTCTTCCACTCTTTGCTTCTTGCTGAAGAACCTGTCCATGGTCTGCTGCTTCATCCGCCTTTTAAGCACCTCCCTGAAAGGCGACATGACCCTCGTATCAAAAGTGTTCGAAAGGTCATGTGCCACGTGCTTGTCAGGGTGGTGCCGCTGTGCAAAAGCCTGCACATCCTTCCACTTCAGGCAAATGTCCCTCAGTTCTTTGGAGGACAGCCGTTCCTCAGTTGCTTCCTCCTCTTCCAGCGAGGCCTGCTCCTGCGCAGCCTCTGCCTGCAGTTCGACCAGCTCCTGGGTAGTCAGCTCGTGGTCGTGCTCCTCCACCAGCTCGCTGATGTCCTCCTCTGTGACCTCCAGGCTCATGGTCCTCCCCAAGGAAACAATGTCCTGCACCACTGTTGACTCTGGTGCATCAGAGTCACTTGGTGCCACACAGTCCGGCCACAGGCTGCGCCAAGCGCAATTCAAATTTCTCTGGCTGATCCCGTCCCAGGCCGTGGTGATCATCTTCAAGCAGGTGACGATGTCGAAGTGGTCCTTCCAGAATTCCCGCAGGGTGATGGTGGTGCAATCAGTTGCCTCGAAGCATCGCCTGAAAAGCTCCTTGGTGTAGAGTTTTTTGAAATTGGCGATGACCTGCTGATCCATCGGCTGGAGCAGTGGCATGGTGTTAGGCAGCAGGAACATGATGCTGATGAAGCTGAACTCCTCCAACAAGTCCTCCTCAAGGCCTTTAGGATGAGCAGGAGCATTGTCCATCAGAAGCAAAGCCTTCAGTGGCAGGTCGTTGTCCAGCAGGTACTGTTTGACAGCAGGGCCAAAAGCAAGATTGACCCAGTCCACAAACAGCACACGTGTGACCCGAGCCTTACTGTTGGATCGCCACATGACACTCAGCTGCTCCTTGTCGATCTTGTGTTTCTTGAAGGCCCGTGGGTTCTCCGAGTGGTACACCAGCAGGGGCTTGATCTTCAGGTCGCCGCTTGCATTGGCACAGAAGAGCAGGGTCAGACGGTCCTTCATGGGCTTGTGGCCAGGCAACTTGGCCTCCTCCTGTGTGATGAAAGTCCTTTTGGGCATCCTCTTCCAAAACAGCCCGGTCTCGTCGCAGTTGAAGACCTGCTGTGGAACGTAGCCCTCCGTCGTCACAACCTCCAGGAACTCCGCTGCAAAGTCTTCAGCCGCAGGAACATCAGAACTGGCAGCCTCTCCATGCCTGACCACGCTGTGGATTCCAGATGTTGCCTTGAACCGGTCAAACCAGCCTCTGCTTGCCTTGAAGACTTCTGGCTCGCCTGAGGTTCCTGGCTGTTCCCGGACGAGGTCTGCGTGCAAGGCCTTGGCCTTCTCACAAATGACGGCCTCAGTCACTGTGTCCCCTGCACGCTGCTTCTCTTCTAACCAGATGAGCAGCAACTTCTCCACCTCCTCCAGAACAGCTGGGCGGTTCTTCACGATCCTGGTGACTCCCTTGGCTGCATCAGTCGCAAGGATCTTCTCCCTCATCTTCAGGATGGTCCCGATGGTCGATGGATTCCTCCCGTACTCCCTGGCGAGGTCTGTCACACGTATTTCACCGTCGTGCTTCCGGATGATCTCCTTCTTCATTTCCAGTGTAACCTTCTCCTTC